CAAGAATAACTGTGTCTCTGCGCGCGCGTGCTAATGGTTTTCCAGTGATGGCCCCCACCATCACATGTGAGTGTACTGCTTCGTTAATTTATAATTTGTGTTAATTAAGCTATACTAGTACTACTCCGTTCTTAATATAAGACTCTATTTAATTTTTATTTTGGTCTTAAATATAAGACCCAAATTTACTTTGTCTCTCCTATTTATACATTTTTTTCAAAATAGCCTTTCTAACAATGATAGTTCTAGTCAATACACTTGATTAACAAGGATATTTTAGAAAAGACAACACATATTTAGAACAAATAATTAATTTAACTTACTTCCTTAATCTCTTCAAATTAGTCAATTGGTTCTTATAATTAGGACCGGAGATAGTAGAACTTACAAATAACGACTCGTATTTATCTGAAAAAACAATTTGCAATTTTGTAGGATAATTAGGGAAATGGGTACCATCATGATGAGGAAAATGTTGCCATTTGTTTTTCTGTTAAGTTCAGCCTTTGAAAAATTGTCGCCATAAGTTATGTAAACCGTTCCTATTTTTATTGATCGAAGGTAAAAAAATAGTTATATGCACAGCTGACATTATGGTCAGTATAGTACAAGTGTGAATGAGAGAACTTTTATATTAAAAGAAATTAGATTGTGAGAAAAGTATATAAGTAAATTGATCCATTAATTTAATATTTTATGATATATTTGTTATGTAATGCTGCCTCCACTCCTTAATATATATAAAAGCCAGTTGACTAATAAAAAAAACTAGTTAAGTTAGTTATTTATGATAAATAGGTCTTGTCTTTCCTAAAATATTCTTGCTAATCAAGTATATTGACTAGAATTATCATTATTATAATGACTATCTTTAAAAAATGGATAAATATGAGAGACAAAGTGAATTAGGGTATTATATTTAAAATCAAAATAAAAATCAAACAAACTCTTATATCTAGGAGAGAAGATAATATTAAATATTCAAAAGTTAAGGAAAAAAAAGCTCACGATGCATAGATGATTAACCCCACTAAACATGATGAAGAAATGACATAATGAATATCACCTTTTTTTTAATTATTCTTTTTTTCTGAGTTTCTCCTTAATTCTCCGATGGGTAAACCAAGTAATAAAAAACTAATTGTTTTATATAATCATGGTGTGCATGTCTTACCACCAAATTCATAAGAATTTTAACTTTTTTTAAAAAAAAAGTTTGCTAAACAGACTGTCTTCGAATTTATTTGTATCTATATTTGTCTATACAAATACTAGAGAAATGTGCAGTGGTTGAGTTTTATATACAAAAAAGGAAAACCTAAATATGAGATTTTTAATTTGATCTGCAGATAACTTACAGAGATGATTGATTAGTATACAAAAAAAAAAAGATGATTTCCATTTAGTTTTCTATTGCATAAATTATTTACAGATCTACACGTGTCTATTATATATATATTTGTGTATAAATGATATAGACAGAATTATAAATTAAATGGGAGAGTGACAGTTTAAAACTCAGACGTGCCAAGTAGCAAATAAAAAATAAACACATCAAACCACATTCGTCTTCTTATTTTATTTTTTGGTCTTAAGAAGACAGCTATGCACGAAGATAATTGTTGTTTTTTTTTTCCTTGGATAGATCATATCATTGTCGGTTCCATGATTTTAGAGTATTAATTGATTGTTGATTTTTGGAGAGAGCATTTTTAATCATCAAGTTGCTTTCAAAAGAATTCAACTTAAATAGCTTTTTGACGTTTCTAGTCTGCTGACTAATTGGTTTTATCAACCCATGCCACTGAACCCTACATTGGTTGGTAATAATGTCACTCAATTATTATTATTTAGTTACTTTTTGATAAAGTTATCACCACATGAAACATGCTTCTTGTTACTTGTTATCCATTCACATGATCTAATTTGATGGCTAGTTGTTTTAGTAACAAGTAACAACCTCAGTAACTTGGTTTTATTAATGTTTTAGGTTTGTATTTAGTGTTGACATGAGTGTATGTTTAAATTGTCTGTAACGATAATTTTAAAAAATGGTAAAATAATACTCTTCCGGTTCTTAATATAAAACCTACTTAACTAATTTAATTAGATTAAAGAAGTTAGGTAAATTAGTTAATTATAATAAATATGACACGTTTTTCAATTCCTAAAATATCATAATCATCTTTCTTAATACCTCCTCTCTCTTCTACTTGATTATAGTTGAGGGAGTATCTATAGGGGTAATTTAGAGAAAATTGATAAATATGAGAAATAGGTCTTATATTTAGGACCAAAATCAACTCAACAATTGGGTCCTATATTAAGAACCGGAGGAGTATTCAAAATCTTGATATTATTTTCTTCATACAAAAAACAATATCTTGATGTTATTTTTCAGATATCTAATATTCTTATATTATTTTTCTAATATTTTCAGCACTCTAATCTTATATAAGATTACAGTGCTGAACGTAATTAGAAATTAACATTAAGAAATGTTGGATGTACCAATAAAATATTATCAGAATACTAGATGTATTATAAATAAGATTAGAATAATAAATGTTTTGTACTCCTCCGGTCCTTATTATAAGACCCAATTTGACTTTTTATTTGGTCCTAATTATAAGACCCAATCCATTTTCTCTCTTATATTTATGTATTTTTTTCCAAGATAATCCTTCTAATAATGATAGTTTTAGCCAATATACTTAATTAGCAAGGATATTTTAGGAATAACAACACTTATTTATTATAAATAACCAACTTAACTTACTTCCTTAATCTCCTCAAATAAATTAATTGGGTCTTATAATTAGAACCGGAGGAGTACCTTATAAAAAAGTCACCTCATCTGCATAATAATATAAAGTTATAAGCACGATATTTAATAAAAGTTAGAGTACATAGATAAAATTTTTTGTACCTCCACGATGGTTTAAACTCTTCTGACAAAACTTTCAAGCTATATTTTATTATTTTTATTAAAGTATTTACATTTTTGAAGTATGCATGACCACGAACGATCTGTTTTACCTTTTCTGTGTTGAGACCAGCTGGCTTCAAATAAAAAGTTGCGCAAGTCAAAATGAATATAATCAAATATTCTGTGGCAACAACCAGAAGCATAATGGGCTGCATGATGAATATTCCAAAAGTTCATAAATAATTAATCATTACCTTCATAAATCAGTTTTTTCTTGTTAGAAAAAAAAGAATTCCTAAATTTTTTCCCCTCTTTATTTGCAACGACTAGTTATAACAGTTGAATTTTTAACCTTGATACAAAAAATTGAAATTTTGAATTTTTTTTAGTAATATTCTTGGATTTTATATATTTCCTGTTGCTTCTCCCCATAGTTTGGTGTTGAAATTTCTAGGAGTTCCTGTGAAAGGAATAAATGAATACCCGAATACACATATAATTATTAAAAAGGAGGGAAAATTGATTTGAGGATAAATCTTGCTCTTGGTCACCTTTTTTTTTTTTTGGACCGATCTTGCTCTTGGTCACTTGAAGTGAATGAATTTGAACATTTTGACGCAAAAAAAAAAGAAAAGAATAAATTTGAATGGTACAAACTATACGGTTGTTAGGGACATGATAATAATGAAATGGCCAAAAGAAGGTACATGATATGATGTCACTTAATTGTCTCTCTGTTTTTTTTTTTGGCCAATAATTGTTTCTGATTTCTAGCGAGTATTAAAAAATTACATTTCTTTTGTTTTTTTTTAATCGTGAACTACTCGTTACATTCCGTCGTATGAGTTACATCTTCAAATAAAGAATTACATATTTATATTTTGTTAATAAGTTTTAGGATAAATTAATCATTTGATCCCAATATTTCGATTCAAGTAGGACACATTTTTAAAATTTTGATTTGGAGTGAGTTAATTTTTAAATTTTAACTTGGTACAACTCAAATCTTATAATTTTAATTATTTAAAATATTGGTCACTACATTTAAAACGATAAAATTATTTTTTTTTAAATTTAGGGACTAAAATTTTAAATCTTGGATCAAGTTAAATTTTAGAGGCCCGGCTATATTTGAATCAAACTATGGGATCAAATCAAATGATCAAATTTTCCTAAATTTTAATATTTTTAAAATTTTAAAGTCAATAATTTTTTTATAAAATTATTTATTTAATAATAATATGCATGTAAATAAATATAATAATGCCTTAAACAATTATGGGTGTTTGTTTGTTTTATAAAAATTAGTACAATCAAATAAACAATTATGGGTGTTTGTTTGTTTTATAAAAATTAGTACAATCAAATAATGAATAATTGAAAATGAAAATTCATTTGAAAAACTATTTTTTATATGAAATTGATAAATTGTGTAACTAATGAGGCTCCCTAAAACAACGTAAAAATGCAACAAATCAAGACAATATTGAAACAAATATTCCTTCAACTTTTTATTTAAAGAATATGATTTTTTTTAATTACCAAAATTAGCATTAGGTTGGTCGTAGGTGTAAGAACAGCATATCTGACGTCTCCCGTTGTAGATTCATGTGTCTAACATCTGTCTTGCAAAAATAAATTAATATTCCTTCAACGTGCTTCATGTGCCTATTCTATTTCTGCACGTTCCTGTTGTCTGCTTATTCTTTTTCTATGCTTGGAGAAAAGCTTTGATGTTTGTAAATGTCCAAATGACTTCTTTTGGAATTATTAGCTGTTCCTTGTTCACAGCCTGCAAATGGTTTCCCATGTTTCATGAACATTTAAAAGACGAAGAGAAAACGAAAAAGCAAATCCCACAACCTACACCCAACACAACCTTCTTCCCATTTGGTCTTCACTCCATAAAGTTTCCAACTTGTTTGGTTCCCGGGAAATATAAGAATGATACAGAGAAAACTCTTGGATGTGGGAGAAAAAGCATTGAGAACAAAAGCACGTTATTAGCCAACATACATTCGACCTTTTCGTATTTACCCGTTCAACTGTACGTGGTTATAACTTCTAATCAATGTCGTCAGAAATGGAAAGGCTGCGTGAAGAAGATTCGTCACAATGGGCTCTCGAGAGTATCCAGATTGATCCGATGGCTGATTTGCCTGAAAATGAGCAAGCTCAGAGAGCAATGGCGTCAGAACGTGACAATGAGGCTGCGCCAGAGGCAAAGACGATTGGCAATATCGATGACAATGACAATGGAGGCCTAAGGAATAGACATGTGGGTCAAGGAAATTGTGCAAAGATGGGGAGGTTACAATCTGGAGCATCAAGAGGGCTTAAGGGTTTACGGTTTCTTGATAGAACAGTCACAGGGAAGGAACAAGATGCATGGAATGCAATTGAGAGGCGATTTTCTCAAAATGCAGTTGATGGAAGCTCTCAAGAGACAAATTTGGAGCTTGCATTGGTATGTGTTTATATGCTTCTGATATTTAGTGGGATCTGTGAATTCTCATTAAAGAAAAAAGTTTAGACTATGAGATTTCTGTTTCACAGGGATGGGAGCAGAATCAAAGGATTTTGCAGGAGAACTGTTTGATGCCTTGGCAAGACGAAGGAATATACATACTGAAAATGGGATCACTGTGGATGAACTCAAGGTGTTCTGGGAGGACATGACCAATAAGGACCTTGAATCCAGACTTCAGGTGTTCTTTGACATGTAAGATCACTCTTTCACTATCTATTTATGCACCCCAAAATGAAGTCTCTACTTTTCTTGCAAGTTGATAGTGCCAATTTCAAAGAAAACAAATGTAAAGTGCGTATTGCCACACACACAAACACTGAGAGAGAAACATGCTGCAGAATTTAAGTGGGATCCAACTTCTTGTGTATTCATGTAATATGTACTACACAATGGGTGTCTTTGTAAATCCCGCCACCTGTAACAGCTGGCTTAGTAAATTCTATTGGCCTATTGCAGAAACAATTGTTACATCTATGTACCTAAAATGTGTGGAAGGAGAAAATGCTGTAATGTTGAGCTGTAGAAGCTTCTCCCTGTTATGCTTTTATTGCATAATTTGATGACCACCTAATGAGGCGTTTGATTTGTGTGGTAAGACATTTTTATGTCAGACCATAATCCTGGTAGTAAAATATTTGTGATGAACTTGGCTGTTATTGTTCAGGTGTGACAAGAATGGGGATGGAAGGCTATCAGAAGAAGAGGTGAAGCAGGTGAGGACAAACACCACATAAATTCTGATTTCCACCTATTATTAAATAAATCATAAATTTTGCTGCTATTTTGTAAAAGGTTATAATGTTGAGCGCCTCAGCAAATAGGCTAGGGAATCTCAAAAACCAAGCTTCAGTATATGCATCTTTGATCATGGAAAAGCTTGACCCAGATCATAATGGATATATAGAGGTTAGAAAGACTTGACTTCCATGTTTCTTGTCAAAACAAATGGCATCTTCACCTGGGATCCTTCTTATTGACTCTATGTTGATACAGATGTGGCAGCTTGAAACTCTGCTAAGGGAAATGGTGAGTTCTGAAGATAATCCCAAAGCCATGGGCAAGAGAACCCAGACTTTGACAAGAGCTATGATACCAAGTCAGTACCGAACTCCTGTAAGCAAGTTTTTTCATAAAACCAGGGAGTTTGTACTTGAGCACTGGAAGAAAATATGGGTCATCGCACTTTGGTTGGCTATAAACGTGGGGCTTTTCATCTGGAAGTTCCTTCAATACAAAAATAGAGGATCATATGAAGTTATGGGTTATTGTGTCTGCTTTGCGAAGGGTGGTGCTGAGACTCTCAAGTTCAACATGGCTCTTATTGTCCTCACCATGTGCAGAAAGACTCTCACAAAGCTCAGAGAATCATTTCTTAGTAGAGTCATCCCTTTTGATGACAACATAAACTTTCACAAGATGATTGCACTAGGTGTAGTTGTAGGGACCCTTATTCACGTAATAATGCATATAACTTGTGATTTTCCAAAACTTATATCGTGCCCACATTCAAAGTTCATGAGTATACTTGGGCCGGGATTTAGCTTCAAGCAGCCTACTTACCTCGACCTGGTTGAAAGTATTCCTGGAGTAACTGGAATTTTGATGGTCATAATTATGGCCTTCACCTTCACACTGGCAACACATAATTTCAGAAGAAGTGTTGTAAAATTGCCCTCTCCATTTCATCATTTGGCTGGATTTAATGCATTCTGGTATGCACATCATTTGCTGATTCTGGTATACGTGCTATTGGTCATACATGGCTCCTTTCTATTTCTCACCAAGGATTGGCACAAGAAGACAGTAAGTTCTGCTCTAACGATTCTACCATTTTAAGTTTAAGCAACGTACATCTCAGCCCATGTGTGTGCTTGTGTATATATTGGCCATTGCTTTTGGGTGTTTCTTAATCTGAAATATTGCTAGATTTTATTAGAACACCAACGTACAATTCCTTAGGCGTTAGTTATCAGATTTTAAATAATGATATGACACGTGGAGAAACCTTTTGAAAGATTTTGTATATTGCCAAGTTGTAAGAAGAATCCATGTGTTACGTTGTTAACGAGGCATCAACTAGCAAACATTTGAATGACTGTACTTAGTAAATTTTATTTTGGAGATGAGAATGAAATATTGACTTCCTGGTGCATCTTCATGTTCATAATTTTGTTAATGTTTCTTGTCACTGGATACTCATTTCCACAAAATGAATCTGTATTATCCAGACTCAGTTCAATTTTTCAAAAGTTCGTTCTAAATGCAAATACCAGAGTTCACTTGTAGATTGATTTCAGTTTGTATCTGTTGCTGAAACATGTCTGTATTACGGCATTCTGAATAAGCAGCAATCTGAGAACATTTATATACTAATCAGTTTCACTACCTTTCTCTATGCAGACTTGGATGTACCTCGTAGTTCCAGTAGTACTCTATGCTTTAGAGAGAATACATCCATTTTTGAAGGGTAAAGATCACCGCGTAAGGGTAATAAAGGTGTTCTAACAACTTCTTATCCCTTTTTTTTTTCCCAATAAAACCATGGGGAAGTGATCTTACTACTTGAATATGTCAGGCAATAGTCTATTCAGGAAATGTGCTAGCACTGCACATAACCAAACCTCCAGCATTCAAGTACAAAAGTGGCATGTACCTTTTTGTAAAGTGTCCAGACATATCGAGTTTTGAATGGTAACTGAGGATAGTATTTTGCTGGTATTAATCTGAAAACTGATTTTGCCGTGAGATCATTTTAATTAAGATGTTCCGATTTTCCCTATTTTTCAGGCATCCTTTCTCCATCACCTCTGCACCTGGAGATGACTACTTGAGTGTCCATATACGAGCCTTGGGAGATTGGACGACAGAGCTTAGAAACAGATTTGCGCAGGTGATGCTTGCTATAATACAATTACCTGTTTACAAGCAGTCAGAAAATAATTTTGATACATGCCCAGAAGAGGTATCAAAATGATATGATGCATTGTAATGGCATGCTCCAGTAACTGCTATATATCTTATTGCTACATCAGTCGCACGTTAGGCAAAATCAATCATCTTTCGCAACTATTTGTTAACAAGCTTAATGTGAAAACGATATTAAAGATAAACTACTCTTTAGAGAACTGACATTTAGTCTCCAAACTTTGGAGGATTGAAGCTCTGACAAAAGTATCCTCGGAAGACTGAAATCTCAATTTGTTCTTTTCGGGTGAAAATTTTCTCTAACTAACAGCGTGAGATGTTCTATTATTTTTTAAATAACAATTTTTTCAAAGAACTAGTTGGGCTAAGACCACATAAAATGCAGGTTTGTGAGGTCCAGAATGCAAGAAAGGGAAGCCTTATGAGGATGGAAACTAGAACGAACCTTAGCTATGATCAATCAGCAGCAAGGTAGATAGAACCTCTTATAGCTTAGTTCTTAAGCTGTTAAATGATACACTGATATTGATTTTGTTCCTTTTAATTCCCTAGGTATCCGAAGATCCGCATTAAAGGACCCTATGGAGCCCCGGCACAAAACTACAAAAAGTATGATGTGCTCTTGCTTATTGGTCTGGGAATTGGTGCCACGCCAATGATCAGTATTCTCAAAGATCTCCTCAACCACATCAAACCGGAAAAACCTGAGCCTGTGAGTAGTCTAGTTTTTACGTTTTTGCTATCAGGTTATCAAATAAAGGCCTTCCGTATGGATTTATTTTTCCTTTACAATTTAGCATGACATAAATTTTATCCTTCCTTTTACTGAAAGTATGCATTCTCCATCCGCAGGACTGTCACAACAGTTCACCAGAAGATCAAAAATATCCCGAAAGAGCATACTTTTACTGGGTGACAAGAGAACAAGCTTCGTTTGAATGGTTCAAAGGAGTCATGGACGATATCGCAGAATATGACCACAATGTGAGATTGAAAGCTAACCAACGTCATATATTTTTAGTCGAGTTACCTCCATGACATGATATTTCACTATAATAATTTTTCGGGCATCTTTGAATGTTACAGCATATAATTGAAATGCACAACTACTTGACTAGTGTTCATGAAGAAGGCGATGCTCGGTCAGCACTTATTGCCATGGTGCAGAAGCTGCAGCATGCTAAAAATGGTCTTGATGTAGTTTCAGAAAGCAGGGTAATGATTTAGTACTAATTAAGGGTGAAGCTTTATCTACACAGTAAACCATACAGCACTATTAACATTTTCCTCATGTTCCAATATGCCCAGATAAGAACTCATTTTGCGAGACCCAATTGGAAAAAAGTATTCTCTGATCTAGCAAGCGCACATGAGAACTCTAGAATAGGTATGCATAGATTCTGATTCATTGTTCGGGGAATCCTAAAGGACATTCAGATTTGAGAATATATGTTTTCTCATTTTTGACTGTTGGTTGATGTAGGTGTGTTCTACTGTGGCAGTCCTACTCTCACCAAAACATTGAAGAACCTTTGCCAAGAGTTCAGTTTAGTCTCATCCACGCGTTTTACCTTTCACAAGGAGAACTTCTAGAGGCGCAATACATAGTGTCAATCATGAATTGTTCAGTTTTAATTTGTCGCTCTGCTTCACTTAGGGGGGGGGGGGAGTACTCGTGGGTACATAGAATAATAGAACCAAAGTTGGACTGTTTAAGTGAATCACTCTCTCTCTCTCTTCTTTTTTGTCTTGTTCACTCTAACTAGATCTCTACAAATCTGTGTCGGTAGTGAAATAAGCCATCTAAATTGTTTGAGGGGAAAAATAAAGATTGACAAGAGAACGCCATATATTTTGCAGAAACGCTATATATAATTGGTCTCACGCTTCATTAACCATATTGATCAGTGGAATTAAATGATGAACACGACAGGTTGAGGTTACTATCAAGATCGTTTTGTCACTTTAACTGCCGTAGCCTTCAATTCCAAATTGCATGCTGGAACCATAAGGGCATATAGGAGAAGGAAAGAGAGGGAGAAGTAAGAATTTGAGTCTATCTTCTCTAAATTGAGTCCATATAAGCAATCAAAGACAGAACATATAGTTCATGCACAATTTTTGTGTCACTTTTTGTTTGAATGCACAATTACGTAGCATAGAGAATTCCACCTTTTCCCTTCCTCTTAACTCTTAGTACATCTCTGGCTCTGCAATTCTGTGTCGGTTGTGAAATAAGCCATTTTGAGGGCCGGGGGGGGGGGTAAAGATGGACCCATGAGTGGGATATATTTTGCAGAAACGTTATTTATTGGTCACAAGCTGCATTAACAATATTGATCAGAGTAATGAATGATGAGCATGACAGGTTAGTGATTGCTTTTAAGATGGTTTTGGTCACAGTAACTCGCCCAGAGTAGTCCATGTCGCTCACCATAAAAGCTGATCACCCATGTCCTTAAAGTCCATTACTTTGAGTCCCCAAGCATTTAATCTTCATGTACACATGTGAAAGCAACTTGATACTGATGAACAAATGAAAACTGCTGGTTAAAAAAAAAAAAAAAGAAAAAGAGAAAAAACAAATGAAAACCCACCATACGTTGTATGAAATTAAGGCTCTAGCAGGAAAGGACCATACTGATAGATGATTATTAATGGCTGGTTCACAGTTTATCATTCAATAAGCCAAGGACTAATCTGATCAATAATGGAACTGAGCACAATAACATGCTGTGACAGCGAATATTTTTTTTTTTAAAGCGCAAGAGGCTTTATTGCCAGCCAGGCAACTCAATTATTTGTAGATTCTTTCGACTATGTCTTAGGTACGCGACTGTTACTGCTAGTAATATATCATTCTCGCATGTTGGTGATGTTTTATCTAAAAAGGCTGAACCTTTTAAATAGAATTTAAGATGTGCTTATAGGATATCTAGTATAATCTTTCATAATTATGCCTGTAGTCTTCTCAACTACATAGAATGCAGGGTGATTTCTATTATGCAAATTAGAGGTACTATAAATCGCATCCATGAAATGTAAGAACAGTCTTATTACACACACACACACACGCACACATATATCCCAACAAATATTCAAACCTTTCCGAATACCCAACATATAGTAAAATATAGACTCATAGTTACAAGGGAGCACGGAAATATTTTTATTCATGTTAGGTGCAGTAGATATTGGCACAATGGTTGTTTAATAAGCATATAATTAGCATATGGTCATGTCAAAATAAGAGGAAAAATACTTATTTTTTTAGTTTTTAGTTCAAATACAGATTGGTTCCAAAAAGTAAAAGGACCAAAAAAAAAAGTTCAAGAACATTACCGAATGTAACATCAGCCATGTGCTTTGTGTGTAGGTGAGAGAGAGATAGATAGAGAAGGAAAAAGGTATAGAAAATAATTTTTAATGTCAATTATATATTTATTATCATTATTAAATAATATTTATTCTTCTATTATTTTAATCATTTAATCTAACACAAACCAATTTTTTTTATATGCTACTTCCTTAAAAATAAACCCTATTAAGAAATACTCCCTCCGTCCCTAATTATAATATCCTTTTTTTTTAATGGATTTGTCTTTTTTTATAAGGTTTCTTTTGAGTTTGTCTGAATATTTAATGCATTGTTACTTATTTTACTCTTAATAAATTTCATATATTATATTCTCTCTATTTATCTCATTATTACTCTCTTATATTTATTAGAAGTATATTTCGAAAAAAATTATATTTGTTACATATTAATTGTTTTTAACTAATTTTAACTGTTTTCTTAAAAAGCATAATTTGACTAAAAGGTTCTTATAATTAGAGACGTAGTAGTAGCTTTAAGTTAATCGCATTCTTAACGAGTCCTTCAGTTCGCTATTGTTAATATCTCTCCGACGGCTCGCTATGGCTATGCTACCTCGCGATGCTATTTTACCAACAGTCTCACAACTACGGTGGATTTATAAGTTTAAGGGTGTGTTTGGATGAAACCAAACCGTGGCTTAGAAAAGTGATTCTGGAGAATAGATTCTGTGAAGAATAGATTCTGTGAAGAATAGATTCTGTAAAAAAGTGATTCTGAAAAGTGAAAGTGTTTGGATAGTTGTTATCAGAAGCACTTTTTATATATACAAATTACTAAAAAAAAGACATAAGTTAATATGATAATTATAAAAAAAATAGATTTTATGATATATTTTAATTTGAAGGAATAAAATTGTTAATAATTTTTTTACCAATATAATTAATAATACATAAGATAATATAATTAATAAATAATTAATATGTATATATATTTATAAAATATAAGATTAAATATGTTTATAAAAATATATTTATAAAAAAAAATAACAAGATACATATCATATAGGCTCTCACACTCTCCCTTTTTTCTCCAAAAGCAATTTTTTACTTTTTCCAAAACCATGGTTTTGACTCCAAAACCATGGTTTTGGTTTTTGAGGGGGTGTTTGGGTGATTTATTCCCCAAACCATGGTTTGGGGTGTCACCCAAACACACCCTTGAGAGCTTTCTTTCCTAGAAAGATAGTTTTTTGGGATTAAACTTTTCTTTAAAATTTGTGTTCATCACGTTGATTTTTTCATTAAGAGCTTGATGTTTGTGAAAAGGGTTATCTATAGAGGGTCTGACTAGTACTAGGCTGAGTAAAGTGTTGTGTAATGAAGCCGCCGAAAACATTAACTCTTAAAGGGGGTGGCACTATAATGAGCCCGGCATTAGGAGCCTCACAAGTATGGTAGACTTTATAATTTTAAGGACTTCTTTTTTAAAATAAACGAGTCCTTTAAGATTTGGTTTTCTTTTGATTGTGATCCTATTATTTATATGTTTATGCTCATATTCTTTGGATGTTACAAATTACAATGTATATATTGGCGAAAGCATGACTTGAAATTTGGGTTTATGCTGCATCGTACAGTAACATACTAATATTTCACAATAATAATAAATCTTTTATAAATCAGGTGCCGACAAACGCTAACCGAGGAGAATGTCCTTGTTCCCATTTTCCACAAGAAAATCTAAACGGGTGAACGCTTTTATCATATATTTTTAAATATAGCATGGCTCAGGGCCCTACGTACAAGACCAAGGTCTATTAGTACATCGTCATCATCATAAATTCCTAAAAGAAGCACCACAGAGAGAGAGAGAGAGAGAGAGAGAGATCATTCGTTTCCTCAAGTCTTAATCGATAAACAAAGAAACATGAAACGCAGTGATCAGAGTTTGGGGTTTAAGGGGTCTTCTTTGAGTTGGGTGGATGTAGTTGGAAAGAGGTCAAGAGTCCTGAGAGGCCGGCTTGTGCAACATGAGGATGCTTCATTAAAATCCACAACATTCCAACAACTCATACCATAGTTGTAAAGTGATGACGTCTTTGTTTTATCCACCTCACCTTGTTGGCTCTGCGCAGTCTTCCATGTCTCTGATGATGTCTCTCCTGTTTGTCCCTGAACATATCAAATTAAGAAATTAAGAAATAAGTCCAAAAGAAAAAAGCACAACCTTGAAACTCCATACTTCAACCTGGAAACCATGCGACTTTCCAGCAATACAAAGACTTCAACCCTCAACCCCACCATTTCTTTGCCCTTCTAATTCAGAATCAGAATTGTACTTTATATTGTAATAAAGTAAAAAAATGTACCACATATGCACCTGTCCTGTCCAACATGACAGATTAATTTAAATGATATTTGTACCCTACATGTTTTATTGTATTACCATTTTCGTATGGTGATTAAGTATCTAGTCATGTTACTTTGCCCACATTTAAGCCAGAAGTCAAAGTCCCAAGGGGCTTCTTGTGCCTTCCATTCCAACATCTGTCTTAAACCAGAATATGATACGTGCATTCACTTTTATGAATGAAAAAAATATTCAAATTGCACAAAACGGATATAAGACATGAATAAAAAAAAATACCTTCGCCACGATGCGAAAATACATGCAACATGATTTAGCAAGAAAATGTAATTTAAAGTGGTTTGTTATATATCAATTATGCATGAGAGGTTCGCTGTACTTTGAAGTGTCTGAGGTTTTGTAGGTTTCTTGTGCTGTGCTCCTTAAATTGCAATGTACAGAAGAGACTTAGTACAATATAACTAATACCGAAATGTATATTACCTGAGAAAGTAAGATAGCTGGGTTACAAAGAGAAACTGGTTGCACAGAAGAACCAGTAGAAGAATCAAAGCCACCAAAAAACCAGTGATGAGTCTTATCCTGATTAAACACTTGGCATTGATGGACTAGCATCTGATGATGTTGTTGTTGTTCTTGATGTTGAAGTTGTTGTAGTTGAAGCTGCTTGCTTAGTTTCCTCCTGAGCTTCTGTCTATCCCTAGCCTTGTGATTCTGAAACCAATAGAACACATTCTTTCCTTCAATCCTACCATAGAAACAAAGGTGAGCTGTTATGTGTTGGATTTGGGAAGCACTAGGAGTTCTAATCCCACTCCTATACAGTTCCTCCAAAATCATCAGTTGTTCTGGGGTTGGACTCCATCTCGATGAGCCTGCTCTTGACATTGTTTCTCTTCAGATTGTGGGTTTATTTCTTGAGAGAACAAGGGTATGGAATTGGAATGGATGTATATATAGAGGGACACATAGTAAAGATACAGTAAAGTAGGTAGGTATATGTATTGAACTTTTTTTACATTCGTAGGTGAGAAGTAGCACAAGTCATTATTTTATATAATAAAACTTGAATTAATGTGAATACTCAATTATTTTTGCCATTGGTTGGACTGATAAAAACCCATGAATCTTTTATTTAAAGACTCAGCTATAGCAATTGATTAATAAAGAGGCTTATTAGATTATTTGTTGAGTCGAAAAAGAATAAAAATCAAATAATAAGTTTTTCCTAGTTGAATGAACTTTTGAAGAGATGATATTAATGTCCAGATAGTATTTTAGAGCCTAAATATAAAAATGGGTAAAATTAAAAAGAGAATCGAAGAACTCAACTATTGGAGTAGAGCAAAATGATCAGTCAATACAAATAAATTGTGCACACTGCCGAGGACAACATATTGAAATATGTAAAGATTGCAGCAAAACTGGCTTTTCAACCCATGTCACTAAGTGAGAAAATTTTCTCAAGTTAGGGTCACAGCTTTGAAATTTTCTCAAAAGGAATAAGTAGAAATTCTATTCTACTTTTAAATCACAGAAAATCATAGAATCCTGTGCCATTTGGACATAAAATATATATATAAAAAAATAACACTTTCTAAAAGCATATTTGAAACTGAACATTCAAATATGGATGTAGAATGAGAGGGTTCTATATATATGCGCATATCTTATTATTTTAACGTTTACTCTTATATAAAGCCAATGTAATATGTGAATTATGACCTATCATTCCAAAGTATTTATGAACTTCAAGGAATAGACAAAAAGGAAAGAGATGTAGCAGGGAAGAAAAGGCAATGGTGAATGAGATTGGTGAAAAGTACAAGTCTCATGCCCATGTTCCTTTTGGAGGAGCATTCAAGTGAGGTTCCAGTCCGTGCACAGAGAGACACAGAGAATCTGAAATGAGATAATAAGTCATTGAATTAAAGGGAAAGAAAATAACGATTGTGAGTTGTGCATATGTCATGATGACCTTGTTATTAACTTCTGAAGAATGAGCAATGTGCTCATCTCAAAAACAGGGTTCCCCGCTAATTTGGTCAACAAAACTCTTGCTGTCCCTTAAGCACGTGATCAGCACCTGTCATTGGCTATGCCAGAAGATACTATTTGCTCCCAGTGTTGCTCTAGCAATAAGAAACTTCAAATATGCCAAATTCCTGAAAGAGAAAGTAGTGATAATGTATCTTGCATTCTGCTAAAAGAAAAAGTAGGAATAAAAATGTTATTTTAAAACTACATGTCAAGAAGCTAATGATATGATCAGAATTTTTTTAACCACCACAATCATTTTTACGCATTCTAAAGATGATTGAGAATTATCATAAAAAAGGATTTGTTATTAACATGAATTATCTGTAATTCCAACACCCTTGTGCCTTTAATCCAATAAAGGGTCGTCCTTTCATTTTCAAGCAAAACCTTGAAGCAATACGGTTTCTACGGGCTTATGCTTGTCATTCAACAGATCAAAACCGACTAAGGGATTGATACTCAATTAAAAACTAACAAGCACTGATCAAAAGGTCCATAACTGTTGAGTTATAAACCTGAGGCCAAACTGCGACGTAAGATAGGACAAAATATCTAATAAAAAGCTATTGAAAACAACTTATTTTTTAATAACAAATATTTTTAGTGGGAGAATACTTTTAAGAGCTTTGAAAGTCAGAAACATAAAAGAATGAAGAAAAAGTGGCAAAGCGGAGACAGATTGGGGGCGGTGGTCCCATATGTTAGCTCTTTTTTCATTCGAGTTAATATTCCTCTCTAAATATATTTTGGTCATAAATTGGTTCCAGACGTGAAGGATGAAGCCAATTCAAGCTCTGACAGGTATGATGATGGAATATGATATTTGCTTCCAACGTCCCTCCAGGAACTAAGAAAATCACTAGACATATAAAATGTCCTTGCTAGCCAAGAAATGACAAATTCTCTTTCTTGTGTTTTCACACAGTAAAAAGGTTTTAAAATTTTCATTAAGGGCACATGAATTCAAAACCATGGCCAGTCACTAGCCACATGCAATTGCCAGAGAGACAAATCATCAAACAGTTCATGAGCATTATCTCTCATCACCAACAACAAAAGTGCCCACATCAGGATTTATTGAACCCTTCACTACACCGCCATGTTGGCACACAGCAATATTATCAAAGGACAATGATAAAAACTAGCGTACCATAAGATAGACCAGGCAAGATGGCTAGTCATTCCACAGTAACAGAAGGGTAACGTGGGGTCTCTGTACGTGTGTGTGTGTGTGTGTGGAAGAGAATGCATAGAAATAGCATTAGCATGAGCATACTCCTGAGATCTGACAAAAACCTGAGAACTCAAGCCAGCCTCCGAACAGTTACAGAGTCCATAAATGCATGCTTCAGAGCGTCCAATGCGTTGTCCGTTTCGGGTTTTGTGTGTGGGGACTTGTCTGCTTCATCTTCACCTCTCTCTCTCTCTGTCTGGCAACATTCCTTGTGATATATATATCAAAATTCTAAACCCTCCGTTCTGTAACTCGATGGATTGCTGGGTGAAGTCAACCACGACCCACAAGTATATCTGCTGCCTTTATCCTTCTCCCTTGTGGCTATTGCTTCAGGACATTTCCTTGGGAGAGTCGCTTTGTGACATTGAATGTCCACACGTCTTGTTTGCATTCCACGTACAGATTATAATGGGTTTCATGCAACAGATTCTGCATTTATACCTTTAAAAATAAATAAATAAATAGGAAAAGTTGCTGCGGAAAAATTTTCACTGCAAAATTTACTGCTCGGACTCAAAGTACTTAAAATTTGTGTAAAAATTCATGTGCAACTTATATTTAGCTGGTGTAACTTTTCTTGAGTTATATGCAAATTATCTTCAACTATATATGCAAAACGAAAGATATCTACACATAATTGAAGACACATCTGAGGAAAAATTACACTCGTTGGCATTCGCTTATAACTTGGATCCCTTTGAGTAGTAAATATTGCAATGTGAGATTTTTTTTTTAGCAGTTTTTCCAAATAAACATAAGAAAATGGTTTATTAAGAATATATATTCCTCTAGTGCTTAATATAATAACGTCTTTATTAATTTAGATATATTAAGAAAATTAAATAAATTAACTAATTATAATAAGTATGACTTGATTCTGCAACAAAATTGCATTTTTATACTAATGCTGATTAAATTTGGTGGAAGGGATTCAATAATCATTGAACAAGATTAATGATTCACATATTTTTAAAAAAATTAAATTAGGGAGAGCCATGTGTGATTAGGTCTAGTCGTACTTAAATTTGACCTAATGATATTGGATAAGAATAATATCAAATAATTGTATTAAAAAGTTATATTTTCATGTTATTTTAACATTATGTTTAGTACGGATTTTTTAGAAGAGATAGAAGATACTCCCCTCCTTCTTGTTTAGTTAAAATATTTGTAGGACTTGTTTAAAATAATTATTAAAGTTTTTAAAAGTAGTTTTTTAATCATATGTTTAAAATAATTATTAAAGTTTTTAAAAGTAGTTTTTTAATCATAATTTAAAAAACACGTGAAAGGAATTTTGTTACATAGAAAAAAAAAGCATTTATATTAAGTAAACTCTAAACATTGTTGCACTGTCCATTAATTAAAAACTCTAAACATTGTTGCACTGTCCATTAATTAAAAAAAGACTAATTCATATGAAATGATTTTTATTTTTTTAACCAGCGTATGAAAGAGATTCAGAGAGTACATGTCTGTGTATATAATTAAAATACACATGGGGCCTAATAATAAATGACATGTCTAGAATTTTGTCAGAGGATGAAGAAGATCTCAGAGCAGATACTTTCTGAATTTTGATGAGGAAAATAATTGTATGAAAAATGACATAAAAATTCCAATTCAATCATCCCAAACTAAGAATTCAAAATTTTAGAAGGGCAAGTCGTACCTGATATGATATTTTGAAATACAGTCAAATGATTAAAATGTCTTTATGTCAAATTAAAAAAAAACTATTAAATTTGTGATCGTTAATATATTTTTTGTCATTAGCTATTTAAAAATTATTATTGTCAGTTCATACCTTATCAATAAATAACTTATCATTGCTAGTATATTTCTTGTCATTTATTGTTTAACATTTGTTATTGCTAGTTCACAGTTTGTTAATAAATTTTTTTTAATACAATAGTATTTTTATCATTTAACTACATTTGGAAAATACCCAATCAGACATCACTTTTTCTTGGGATTTTGAAATCTTATGTGCATGAATTGAAATATTATAATTTTTATTTTTTTAATGTCATTTTTTCATAATTGTATGTGCTTGAGGTTGGCTTGTTTTTGAGAGGAGACGAGGTCTGTATTTAGGCCACAGAGAAAATTAAAGAGATCTTTTTCTTTCTTTGAAAAAAAAAACAGGGAGAGAAATTTAATGATACAGTTTAAAAGTTAATGGATGAAATTATAAAAATAAAAATTAGAAAATTTATTTCTAATTATCTATGCTCCCATTATAATCCTTTTAACTCTTCCTATTTCCGCATCATATATCTCATGCATATGATCTGGTCTCATTGTTCGTCGTTAGTTCCCACAAAATTTGTTTCACAGATCTGATATAATTTCTTGTCATTATAGTACTATTTGTCCTTTTGTATTCACTAGATTATCGTGGGAAAATTACTACGTGGTGTCAAACAACAAATATAATGGTCCAAAAGAAAAAATAAAAAACAAGCGAATAACATAGTACCTTTTTTATATTAATTGTTTTTTTAGACTACATCCTACTAGTATTTTGCTGTATCCGCTACACTATTTATCTTTTTAATTTAATATTGTTATATCAATCATATTTGCATGTATTTCCCTTTTTTTTTTTTGGGGTGCATGCATGTATTTCTGTTTGGAAAAATTACAAATAAAAACCCTATAATATGTAAAATTGTAATTTGAGTTCCTTAATTTAGAAAATAGCAAATAAGGACCAGATCTCACTTTTGCAACTATGAAATGTGGGTAAAATATCTAAAATATTTCTCAACCCAATTGTGATTTGGTCTACTGAAGTTGTCATTCGTTAAAATAAACTTGTCATTTAGCATACTCTCAGTAAAGTTATGATTTGGTCTACTGAAGTTTTCATTCGCTAAAATGAACTTATAATTTTTCATAGTCAATTTATCATTTGATTGAGGGATATTTAAGATATTTTATCACGATTTCATATTTGCAAAAGTGAGATCGAGTCCTTGTTTGCTATTTTCCAAATTGAGGGTTCCAAAGCTTAATTTTGCATATTGGGGTCTTTATTTGCAGTTTTCCCTTTCTGTTTCCCATTCTTTTTTAAAAAATTATTTTGATTTTTCGTATGTAACCTTTTCCAAATACGTGAAATTATACTACCCCCTAATCTTAATATAAAAACTCATTTAATTTTTATTTTGATCCTAAATATAAGATCCTAATTTATTTTGTCTCTTATATTTATCTATTTTTTTCCAAAATAGTCTTCATAGTAATGGTAGTTCTAGCTAATACACTTGATTAATAAAGATATTCTAAGAAAACCAATACATATTTATTATAAATAAGTAACTAAATAAATTTTCTTAATCTATTCAAATTATTCAATTAATTTTTATATTAAGGACCGGAAGTAGTATTATGGAAACTAAAATCACAATTTGTCCTTTTTTTTTTTGTTACATAAAATTTTAGACAAGAGGTTGGGTTCACCCATAATTTAAGAACAGCACATCTAATGCTTGATCTACTCAGAGCTGGCTTTACAGATACAGAAACATAACAAGCAAGTTTTTTTTTTTTTCCTGGCCTAATTTCAATGTTTGAACTTGAAGGCAATAGAGCGGCTGACGGAGTAGACAATCAGTCTCTAGCTATCGATTGGGCCTCCATGTTCTTGACAGACGACAACAGTGTCCATTTGGGCTTTGATGGATCTCTTTCCCCGTTTCACATGCTGTGTTTGGATGAAACCAAACCGTGATTTGAAAAGTGATTCTGGAGAATAGATTCTATAAAAAATAGATTTTATAAAAAAATGATTATGAGAAGTGAGAGTGTTTAGATAGTTGTTATCAGAAGCACTTTTTATATATACAAATTACTAAAAAAAAGACATAAGTTAATATGATAATTACAGAAAAAATAGATTTTATGATATATTTTAATTTGAAGGAATAAAATTGTTAATAATATATTTTTTACCAACATAATTAATAATACATAAGATAATATAATTAATATGTATATATATTTATAAAATATAATATTAAATATGTTTATAAAAAAATATGTTTATAAAAAAATAACAAGATATATATCCTATAGGCTCTCACACTCTTCCTTTTTTCTCCAAAAGCAAAAAAATTTTGCTTTTTCCAAAACCATAGTTTTGGTTTTTGGGTGAGTGTTTGGGTGACTTAATCCCCAAACCATGGTTTGGGTTTAGGTTCCCAAACTATGGTTTGGGGTGTCACCCAAACACACCCTTAAGTAACATGGAAATGGAAATGATAATGATTTCCATAACAAATGTTAGCTAGGTACGATGAAATTGGAATTCCATTTCTACTAAAATTGATGGAATTCATTTCCATCTTATACCAGGAGAATTCAATTCCATATCCAGCGAACCCATTTTTACCCTCTCCCCCAATCCTTGAAGCTTCCAACCCCCAGCCACCACTCACCACCGCCGGCGAGCCACTCAACCCTACTTCCGACGATCTTCTCACCCACCGTTGGTGAGCTACAGTTTTACCTCCTCCATAACAAAATCATTATTTATTCAAATCTCCTCAGAGCTAAGAACTACTGTAATCAAAGTAAAATCTCTCTCTTCTGGTTCATTCAGATTTGCCTCACCACCGGCCATAACGACTAGCGACCGTCGCCGGCGAGCTTCTCAGCTGTCTTCTCCATATTGAACGACTGCGAGGGAGGGAGGGAGAAGTGCAACCACATCTAAACTACGACTTCATCTTCATCTGACTCCGATGGCCTTTTCAGTTCATCTAACACTTCAAAAAAATCATCTGTTAACGCTGAATCCGATAACCCAAGTTTGTCGTCTTCCTCTTCCTCCAGCGGATCTTACATTTCCTCCTTGCCTTCAAAGTCTGTACTTTGGGGCACTGTCTCTTCTTCTTCCACACCAAAGGTCGCTGGAGTACTGGCCTGCATCAGAGCTTTGTCTATTTAGCCGCCGCCGGTCACGGGCTTCTGGCGGGGGAAACGGTTGACAGCTTCGATGAGGAGTAGGGAGGCATTAAGGAAGGGCATTTTGGTATTTTTATCTGAAAATTACATACCAAACACACTTTTAAATCCTATTTCCATATCCATCTCCCGGGTACCGAACGGGCCCAGCTGATGTCACCGAAAAAAAAGAAACAGAAAATTTTCTAGTTCGGTTCGGTCCCTGCACTTGCCATTCCCAGCTCTCTTTCCCTGTCGCTACCATCCTGGATCACGACGGGGTCGTCTGTTTCGACATCCTTTTCTTCTCTCAGGTTCGCTCTCTATGTCTCTGTGACTGCCCCCAATTTCTAGATGCTTATAGGTTTTGGTGTTTTATTTTATTTAAGGCAGACAGTTGTAGAAGTGAGTACAAAATTTTCCGGCTTTTGAGGGAAATGACTACTCTAGATCTTGAAGTGCGAATGCAGTTAAAAGTTGGAATCTTTTGGTGATAACTATGCTGGGAATATTGTGTTGGCACAATCAATTGAGAAAATGAGGATGCTGAGGATAGGAGGAGAGATTGTTCTTCAAAATTGAAAATTGAACCGAGTCAATTAGGACTGAGCTGCGGCTTCAGAAAGCAAAGAAGTTTCTTGACTTAAAATTTTATCCGCTATTTCACAGTCACAAAAAGTTACTAGTGAAGATATAAGTAGGTTAAGAGACTATCAAACTAATTATTTTTGTTTTTGGCACCCATTATAGTAAGCACCAAACCACGAACGAATTGAGATGTTAATATATCAGAAGTTGAACTTGGCCACCGTCAACTTGCTGAATAACCTTATAATTGTGACTTGTGAGGAACTATTTTCTGTTTTGAGCTGGAAGAATTCATTGTAAAACATGGAGCAAACTAAGACTTCTAAATTTTTTTGAGGATCAAATATTTTTTAAAGAAAATATTAAATCTGATGTGACATGGGGCACTGTATAGGGGTAACGGGCTTCCAATCTATATATTATTAAAATAATATATTTCTATATGTTTCAACTTCTTATGAAGGAACGAAGGCTAGCACATTTGTTCAGCATTTTAACTATGGAATGAAAGTTAGACATTCTTTGTTATCATGAGGACTTTTGCATGATATTATTTCTTCTATAATATTTTTCTTCTTGTTGCTGTAACTGAATTAGGATTATATTACAGTTTACACAAATACTGATTAAAAATAGTATACGCAGTTACCATTCAGCGTGGAATTGACTCCCTAGGGTTAGTTACCCATTGTTTATGAAGTTTCCTGGGAACTTTGTTTTGCTTTTATTTAGAAAGAAAACCTGTATATGCACTTTTTCCATGCGATCTGACAGGTAGATGTGTCAGTAACTTCAGTGTTTCCTGGTTTAGGTCATGCGATTTTGCAGTTGCAAGAAAATTTTTCCCCATTGCTTCACATCCGCTTCTCTTGGATGCTATACTCTTTTGAATTTCCTGGAGTGGCTCCAGTGTAAAGATTCATCTTAAAGAGGCCCATTGGTGATGTTATCCTGATAAGGACCCCTGGCCCCCATAAAGTAAAGAAGTTATCTGTAGTTGTACTGACAGCAATATACCTTTTGGTCTGAGTCTCTAGGACCATAATTTCATATTGCTGTCACGTAGAGGAAGAAATGGGAAAAATAGCTCTTGCAGTGATTGTGAGCTTGTGGGTTATTCCTATCTTCATACTTGTCAATCGCACTGTTCCGGAGCCATATATGGTAAGCAAAGCTTTTGAAACTTGGAGGGATGAATAGTTGTGGATGCTTATGAATGATTTGAGGTTCTTGTCTTTCAATATGACTGATGCTCTTGTTTTGTAGGATGAGATATTTCATATACCACAGGCTCAGAAATATTGCAAGGGAGATTTTAGAAGTTGGGATCCTATGATTACTACGCCTCCTGGCCTGTATGTTATTGGAAACTTGATGCTTGTTGCCTTATAAATTTGAAGAGACATTTTTTTCTTCTAATTTTCTCAGTAGAGCTATATAGTTCTACAGTCATTATTAGAGCAAACTTATTTCTCTAGTTTCTTGTCAAAACTATTTAGTCATCTCTGGTTTCAATAAGGCCTACCTTTTTGGTCTCCTTATTTGAAAATTAAAAAGCTTATATGCTCTCTTAGTTGTTAAGTCACTTAGCCAATGCGCTGTTGACATAATGTTGTATTTGCTAATATGCCTGATGCTAATGCCATTTTTTCTTATGTGGAATGATCTGCATGGCTGCAATTCTCTTTGCTAACATGGAAATGAATTGGTAGTAGCCACATACAAATTCAAGAGGGAAGCATTGTTCAATTGAAACTAGGGAGATCAGTATGTCAAAATTTTTGAACAAAATGAATTAAAATTGTGATTAAGTCCCAAAAAACAGTATTGAAAGATAATTTTAAACTCTCTTGACTTAAATGAGGCTAATTATTATCCCTCAGTCCCTCTGACTAGTATATTCTACTTCCTAGATGTGATAATTAGAGAGATAGGTTGCTGTAATTGAAACTCAAAGCCCTAAGTTGCATTGATGAGTAATCTGGAAGGATAACATTGATGAAATTACTGCAATTCATAATTAGAGATTTTTCCTCCTTCTGTGTTTAGGCTGTTGTTCTGTGATCTTTTAAGCCATTAAGACATGTAATTGTGGTAATTGATGTCATTAAATTTATGCAATGCTGTTGTTTTCTAAAATAATTGAATATTTATATACAGCATATATAAATTATTCAAAGTTTTGTTTATTGATCTCATTGCTTGTTCTTTTTTTCGATTTTGTCAAATAGTATTTGAAAATCATGGTGATTGATTCATGGACTATATTTAGTGCTTCTCATGTCTGAGGAACAGGCTGAGGAACTTAAAATAGTCCCACACGGTTGAATATTTTTCAGTAACTTAAGAACAAATTATCAAATACCAAGGTTGATGTTTGCAAAATTAATACTTTGCAGGTACTGTCTTTCACTTGCCCATGTTGCTTCTTTGTTTCCAGGCTTTTACTCTGTGCAAGCAGCTTCATCATTTGCCGATTTGTGCTCTGCTGCAATTCTTCGATCATTCAACTGTGTTCTAGCAGTCATATGCAGCATAATTATGTACGACATAAATACTCACTTGAAGCCAACACTTGATGATAAAAAGGCGACGCTTCAAGCAGTGATTCTATCCTTGTATCCCCTCCACTGGTTCTTCACTTTTCTCTATTATACAGATGTTGCATCTGTAACTGCAGTGCTTGCAATGTATCTAGCATGTTTGAAAAAGAATTACTGGCTTAGTGCATTGGTAAGATATTTTAATGAGTCTGTGCTGTAAAATATCTGTCCATTATGAAATTTGTTTGATTTATTTTGGTGGATATAATATTTTCATCCCGGAGTTCCTCTTTCTTAGCATTTTGCATCATTCTTTGAGCACGATTTTTGATGTAGTGATTTTCAACAAAGATACCTGTCATCTAGAATTCTTGGCAGCGTATAGAAACACAGGTGCCCTCCATTAAACATTCTTGCTTATTTGATGAATGTATACCGCACAGACCTCTGGTGTTTCTCAATGTTGTTTTTTGGGTTCTTACTAGCAAGTAGGGAAATCATATATCCGTGTCGTTGTCTAAATAAATCTGTGTTATCTTTTTGCCTGCATGCCTACAAAGTTCAAAGCAATAATCTACACCTCAGTCTGGAACTGAGTTCAAGAAACTCAAGTTTGACATAGTGCATTGTTTTTTCCTTTTATCTATGTAGTTGATGATTACATTTATTATGGATAACTCAGAGAGAACATGGAGGGGCAACTTTTTATTAAAAAAATGAAATATGGATCATTGTTGTTGGTGCAATATACACATAGTTTACAAGTAAATGCTAAATTTTATAGTGGTAGTATTCCAATTTTATATATGCAATTTGAGGTTAAAAAAAAAAAAAAACTAATCCGATTTTATATGTGCAGAGTGGAGCCTTTTCAGTTTTTATTCGACAAACAAATATTGTATGGGTGCTTTTTGTCGCATGTACTCAGATAATAGACATTGCCATAACCCATGGAAAAAAGAATGCAATAAGAGCAGGGTCAGATATGTCTATCAACAAACCCGGTTGGGCATGTGATAACAATACTAGTTCAGCGGGTTTAAATCTGAGAAAGCGAAGGGTTGTTAAAGTAATGGACACTGTCAAGAATCCTTTGGTCAATGCACACGCATCTTCTCCATACTCTTCAGGTTTACTATCTACTTGTTTAGTAGAACCACCTAACTTGGTGGCTGCTGAAAAGTTATTCCAATCTCACTCTCTTGTTTTAATGAAGTAGTTTGAATAACTATATATCTGATTTCTTCTTGCAGGCTTGCTTGAGGATATATGGGCAATCCTTTTGACGTTGTGGCACATGAAGTGGGAACTTTTGTTCTCGTTTAGTCCCTTCGTGATGGTATTGGTTGCCTTTGTTTTGTTTGTCCTATGGAATGGGAGTATTGTTCTGGGTAGGATTCCTTCTGTTATTATCATCCAAAGTAAATTTTTGGGCCACTAAAATTCCTATTTTCACCTATCCTTCTGACACTTCAGGTGCAAAAGAAGCTCATGCAGTTACCCCGCATTTTGCTCAGATACTTTATTTCAGTCTGGTTTCCGTAATGGCTCTGGCTCCTATGCATTTCACTGTCCCCCATGCTGTAGACCTATTCAAGCACTTTAGGAAAAATATGACCTTTGGTTTCTTTCTGGGGTTCATGGCCCTGACCGCTGGCTTTGTCTCTGTACACTTTTTCAGGTTAGCTCAGATAAGATATTTCACATTTAGAACATAAAATTTAATGCGTCTTTTGATTATTAGTAGCCATGTGCATGCTCTGGTGAAACTATGGACTGATTTTTCTTTCGTCAGTAATGAGGGTGGAGGTGTCAATATGATTTATTTAAATTCAAATGAGTCTGAAAATATTCTCTCGTTTCATTCTATGCTTCATCTAGGGTCTAGCGCTTGGTAAATTTTTAATCAAGTAATAATAATTATTATTTTGCCCATTAATTGTTACGGCTATTTAGCTTTAATTCGAAAATTATTTAATGTGATGAGTTAATCTTCTAAAGCAACAAACTTGCTGCACATTAATCCTTTTGCCGGTGACTCAAGTATATGAGAATGATCAACTTGCAATGAGATTTTTCGATAGGGGATTGACCTGTTCCTTCACTATTTTCAAGGGACTAAAGCTAAGAGGAACCAATTACGTAAAGACCTAATTATTTGTTCATATGTTTTCTTGTTCCTACTGTGTATATGTAGCAAAACTGGTTCATGAGAAGCTCACTCTGACGAAAATAAACTCGTCGCTGTTAATTTTGGTTCATTATTGAACTGTTTAACTCTGTTACTCTCATGTTCTTACAATCGCTGTTAGTTGATTAATGCAGTGTTGCTCATCCATACCTTCTCGCTGACAATCGGCACTACCCTTTCTATCTATGGAGGAAGATCATCATGGCTCACTGGTCAATTAAATACCTCCTGGTCCCACTCTATATCTGGTCATGGTTTTCCATTATTCATGCCTTGGGTTAGCACAAATCCTTAGCAAGCATTTCCTTGAGTTTCATTTACTTATAAGGTTATACTTGCTTAACTATTTTCTGCTCCCAAACAGGGAAATTTCGAAATAAAATATGGGTATTCGCGTACTTTATGGCTACTGCTGCGGTTCTTGTACCAGCTCCTCTGATAGAGTTCAGATACTACACCATACCCTTCTTCTTCTTGGTCCTTCACAGTAATAGTAACGAAAGTGGACGTTGGTATCTCACAGGGATACTTTATATTTGTGTAAATGTTTTCACAATGATGATGTTTTTGTTCAGGCCATTCAGTTGGGATCATGAGCCTGGAGTCCAAAGGTTTATATGGTGACTTAATTTGCGAGAAAAGAGAGAAAAGAAAAAGGGGGGGGGGGGTTCTCATGTGCTCAAGGCATTTTATTTGATTGAAAAACCAGTTAGTTTGTTTTACTGACTTGTCTTTTCAAGTTCTCTTACAGTCATGTAAATCTTGATTAACCAGGAATGACTGACCGACCTGAAGCCCCGTGACATTTTCTCTTTGAAGCTTTTCATTTTTGCAGTTAGTTTTACCTTTGGTTTGGGATCCAAGTCTGGTGGACCCCATATTTACAACCACTCACTGATGATCAACCATTATGTATGAAGGCAATTGATCTTACCCTAATAATACTACCATTTCCAGCATGTGCATTGGGCATTCTGGATAGAACATCCGCAATTAATTTAAAATAAGGCCAGAGGAATCTCTTCCTTGTCTAACCTTGAAATAATTGAACAGTTAGGGCTTGTTTGTATCTTGCATAACTGAAACAAAACTCTCTTTGCATGCTTGCTTTGTATTGCATGCTTACTTTGTATTCTATAAATTACAATTGGAGAGGTGATTTTTAAAAAATTCAATTGCAACTCCAAATGAGTCCTTAGTTGATTCTTAGTGACAATGTTAATTATCAGACCCTTCATTCTATTAATAATTAGGTTACAAAGAACTGGTAGTTCTAAAATTGGTGACACCCTCGGGGTTTTCAGTTCTACGAATCATGATCAAATTTGTTTCATTCAATCCCCATAGAGCCACAAGATACCTCATCATCATTATGCAAAATCTGACCTCCCATGGCCTATGATATCCCAGGAATTATGATCGGAGCTGCCTCATAATCTACTCTTGGGTTCTTCAAATGCTAATGCTCTGCCAACCTCACTCCCTATTCTGAGAATATTCTCAGTCATACCCTCACTATTTTCTCCTTTCTTTCAAAGTTGAACATGAACTGATTCTCTCCGAAATTTGCGACGACCATTTCCAAGACTTTTCTGCCTTAGCCTTCACAGATTCCTTGTTAACCGCCTTCATCACATTCAGTTTTCCAAAATTCGTCTTGACATCCTCTTCAGTAATCCAGTCTCGCTCCACTAAATTACTTTCGCCGCCAACTTTATCGCGACCTCGCTGCAGCTCCATCACTCCGTCACACGACCGCCCCCAAACCACCTCACAAATCCCCAGCAAAGAACCGTAACACACGCTCTCCTCTCCAAAAGACCCTACCTATTCAACAAACACACACGGTTTCATTCACACACCGAAACCCAAGGGACACTTGACACACCCACAGTCTTCTGTGCCATTATCTTCAACCTCTGATTCTTTTGCTTGAATGCTCATCTTTATTCGCCATGAATACCTATTACAGATTCTTCTCGCACCACCGCTTTTGTGTGCTACGTTCTCTTCTACCTAATATCACTGCAGTTGCTTCCTTCTCCACGACCGCTGGTGCCGACTACCTCGATTCCGCTCATCTCAAATCCTACACCGTGACACCACCAATCAAACCCTGGCCTCAGCGCCTCTACCCCAAGCGTCTCGTTTTAATGATCACTCGTCAACAAAATCTCGACCTTGCCCTCCAAATTTTCGACTACGCAGGCAAATATCATCCTGGGTTTTCCCACAATTATGATACGTATCACGCCATCATTCAGAGACTCTCCCGAGCACGTGAATTCGATCAAGTCGAAGAACTTCTCTCTCAGTTGCAGTGTTCTGGAATCAAATGCGGCGAGCAATTGTTCATAAATGTGATTCGGAGTTATGGGCTTGCGGGTAAACCTAAACTGGCCGTTAGAACCTTCTTGCGGATAGAATCATTCGCGGTTAATCGATCGGTGAGGTCGCTGAACACTTTGCTTAATGCTTTGATTCAGAATAAACGATACGATTGGGTTCACTTGATGTTTAGAAACTGTAAAACTAAGTTTGGTGTTATACCTAATGTCTTTACCTGTAACATTTTGATTAAAGCTCTTTGCAAGAAAAATGACGTTGAGGGTGCGCTCAAGGTTTTGGATGAGATGCCTGTAATGGGTATGGTTCCAAATGTGGTGACCTATACTACAATTTTAGGTGGGTATGTTTCTAGAGGTGATATGAATGCTGCCAAGAGGGTTTTTGGTGAAATTTTTGATCGAGGATGGTTACCTGATGCTACTACTTATACAGCTTTGATGGATGGGTTTTGTAAGCAAGGGCGTTTGATTGATGCAATTAAGGTAATGGATGATATGGAAGAGAATGGGGTTGAACCAAATGATATCACTTATGGGGTTATGATTGAGGCTTATTGTAAGGACAACAGATCCGGGGAAGCCTTTAACTTGCTTGATGATATGCTTGACAAGAAATATATACCAAGTTCATCACTGTGTTGCAAGGTCATAGATTTGTTGTGCCAGGAAGGAAATGTTGAACAGGCTGTCGAGCTGTGGAGGAGGCTTTTGAAGAAGAACTGTACTCCTGACAATGCTGTATCTAGTACCCTTATACACTGGCTTTGTAAGAAGGGAAATATATGGGAAGCAAAGAAAATGTTTGATGAATTTGAGAGAGGTTCTATTCCTAGTCTCTTGACATATAACACACTTATTGCTGGAATGTGTGAGACAGGGGAACTCTGTGAGGCAGCTAGGTTATGGGATGACATGGTGGAAAGGGGTTGTGTTCCTAATGCTTTTACTTATAACATGTTGATTAAAGGATTTTGTAAAGTTGGTAATGCAAAGGAGGGTATCAAAGTTCTGGAGGAGATGTTGGAAAAAGGCTGTTCACCTAATGAAACTACTTACTCAATGTTGGTTGAGGGGCTTTCTGTTTCAGGAATGAAGGACGAAATAAAAAAGGTAGTTGCAATGGCAACATCAAATGGAATTGATAGTGAGACCCGGGATCTCTTCTTAAGTAAGGTCAATGAAGTTGGACATGATAAAAATTTATCTTCAAATGTCTCATAAACTGCAGAGTAAAATGTATCATTTGAAAAGAAGCAGACTGCTTGAACTTGTAAATTGTAATCGGTGGAAGGTGACTTGTAACAGTCAAGGTATTTTGTATAATGTGGTGGCATTTTGTGACCCTAAACATTTGTGGCAAAATAGAGCCTGGCTTGAACTTGAAAGCATTAAGAAGTTGCAGAAAACAAAATATTACAGGGTTTCACCTTTAAGCTGTCTAGTTATAGCAGCGCACCATTTAGCAAGGTGTCTCACAACTCAATGTGCAAAGTTGAAGCTCTGATTTGTACTATGTTCTCTCTACCTGGAGCGTTTATATGCCAATTCAAGCATCTTGTAACAGTCAAGGTATTTTGTATAATGTGGTGGCATTTTGTGACCCTAAACATTTGTGGCAAAATAGAGCCTGGCTTGAACTTGAAAGCATTAAGAAGTTGCAGAAAACAAAATATTACAGGGTTTCGCCTTTAAGCGGTCTAATTATAGCAGCGCACTATTTAGCAAGGTGTCTCACAACTCAATGTGCAAAGTTGAAGCTCTGATTTGTACTATATTCTATCTACCTGGAGCGTTTATATGCCAATTCAAGTATCTTGTCCTACCACTTAAGTCAGGTTGATTATGCAAATATGCAATGCGACTAAATAACTAATCTGGCTTGGCTACTATTGTCTCTGCTGCTAAAACAGAAATTGAGAAACAATATTTGCAGGTGGCTCTTGTTCTTTGCTGATGGCAATGTATGAATTCTGTGAACAAAGAGATGTGGTGAACTTCTAGCATTGCTTAACTTGTTGCTACACATGGATGGCATAGACAGTAGCTCAATCAATTGTTCAAGAATTGTTGAAGTAAGGGTGCTTTTGGCAATTTTAATGGTCCGTAAGGTGGAGGTAAGATGAAGCTGTAATAAATAATGCAGTCATGGTTGTAAAGAGAAAACATAATGCTCAAACTAATGATGGCTTTCTCTGATTTTGGAATCTTTCAAACCCTTTGAACTCAGGGATTCGGTTTAATTGAAATTTATTTTCTCAACTCATTCCATGGAAATTCAGTGAGCTCGTTTAGGAATGAGCAGTTCTGGTCTATTTGTTGTTCTCCGGCCTTTTATGCAATGTAAGACTTCATGATAAATATTCTGCATTTGTGCTTCTATTGAATGACTATGCTAATGGGACTGAGCAGGCCTCCTGCTAGAGCGCCATCCAGTGCCGCACGTTGCAGAACTTCTTTTGCATCTGGTTTCAAAGTTATATTTCCTCCATTAGTTTGAAGAAAAGAATGCTAACCCTAGCGTTGATCATAAAATCGAGAATGGTGAGATGACATTCTTGGGTGGAGCAAGAGTCCTCCACCATTAGCCATGTAGAAAAGAATGATGGAGGGAATGTTCCTGCCGCACTCATGGCAGGTCCTTCTCTTGAAACCAAAGTCCTTCCAAGAGATGGCATGTGGAGCGAACAGGGCGTATCGCTTAATCTTTGCACAGAATCGGTGTGATTTTGATCCATTGGCAAAATCTGTTCATAGATTTTTTTTTCCTAAGGTGATTTATCTGTTCGTAGATTTTCCTGTCAATCAAATTATCAAAGTGATCCGATACGATTTTTTATTTTTCACTATGAATCCCAAATATCAATACTTCTTATCAAGCCTTGTTATAATTTTGCAAGCTTATCGTCAGTTCAACAAGAACAGGATGAGTTCATTTTATGACGGAGTCCGTTATCATTCGAAAGCTTTAAAGAAACCATCATTTTTTACTGTTTGTGTTGGGTATATAAGCTTTTTTTTTTTTTAAAAAAAAAAAGATCTATGAAGTTAAAGAAAACTACATTTCAGACGGAGAATTATTGTAGCATCCTACTCTTAGAAAAACTAGTTCAATGCCCGTACAATGCACGGGTATGTTCAAGGCAAATAAAAAGTTTCACAGCAGGCACTTTTTATCTTTTTTTTTTACATGTAATAATTGTTGGAAAGAAAAAAAAAATCTGATAGATGGAAGGATGATAACTCAAATAAAAAATCAGTTTAAGTTTTTGATTTAATAATATTTATATTTTCAGTTGTATTGACACAAAACTAAATAGTTGTGGCTCGATGTTTAGCTTTAAGACGTTGAGAAAGACGTGGAACTATGACCAAGTAGCAGATCATGTTGGTAAGTACGAAGCCATTTTCTAAGCTCAAGAGCACCCATTTAGTTGCAACTCGCAACCTGAGACCAAAGCAAGCACAGTGACCAAATTAGGAGCATAGAAGTCAGTAAATGTTGTTGATTTACCAAACAAATCTAACTCATCCTAGCAAACCCCTTGGCAAAAATTCAGTATAGGTCTTTGCTTTGGTCTTCATTCTCATAATACTGGCAAATGGCATAGACAAGATATATTTATTACTTGAGAAGTAAATAGACTATTCTTTTCTGACCATATTGAAACCATTTGAAGACAAGCATTTATTTTCTTCTAACAGCATATCCATAGTGACTTTAAATTTAATTTTTAGCCATTAAAAATTCAATTGTCATGAGTTAAAATACACCATTCACAAGACAAATCTAACCTGCCCAATATGGGTAGTTTCGTTTTAATACCTCAGGAGCCAAGTAAGGACTTCTAACTATCTCATTAAATCTTTCACCTGTAGAAAATGACAAGCATTAGTAAATGAATCTTGGACAGAGACAACTGATTGATAAAAGATAGATTTCTTGTAGTTATAAAATCCTACAATGACTGTAGTAGATATAAATTCATAGTACTCTGTCGAAAGCAGCTTCCAAAGGATCGTCGTTCATTGGGTCCATCCTTTTTTTAATTTTTCTGAATTAAATGTATATACCTATATTTGATTAGTATTTCGAGGTGTATGGTAGAAAAAATTGAAACGGCAAGGGACAAAAGAAGAAACTTTTTATAATTAAAAATCTACAATACTAATCAAGCAGATACCTGAATGGAAATCAAAGTTGAATCAGCACTTGTCGCACTTTTAAATAGCCTTATGGAGACCCCTCTCTTATAATAGTAATAGATAGATAGATTAAATCACACTAAAAAATTAATGCAAAATTGAAAATATGTACTCTACATCATGGTTGGCATAGTCTCCATGTTCACAAATCGAATTTGAAATCCAATATAGTCTCCACGTTCATAAATCGAATTTGAAATTACATAACCACCCGAAATTACTTGCATGAATAAATAATTACTTTCATCTTATATATACATCATGATTTGTGATGACATGAAAGGAATTAGAATTAGAAGCTCATATATTGGATATTAGGTGAGTTATACATAGGGACGTGCAGGGAATTTCAGTTTTTGTTAAAAAAAATAGAAAAATAAAACACATTTATCCAACACCACATGTGAGTTATATGCAGGAACGTGGGGAACATAGGTAGAAACATGGAAACATGGCTTTTAAAAAATAATCAAAATAAAAAATAAAGATCATTTATCTATGCATAGGTGATGCCATGGGTTGGCCTGTCAGCAATTCCTACTTTGTACTCTACTTTTATATATTAATAGATATAAATACTTAGTGGCATAAAAATGTAATAAATATTATTAATGAAATATCATTTGAGAATAACTAATTAACAGATTCTGCAATCGCGCTCAAAATTTGTTTGGGCAGGGTTATGGCAGAACTTCATAAACTTGGAATAATAACCCTGCAAAATTGTTGTGCTCCATGTTCTGAACGTGATCCACCTTGCTTTTATCGCTGCCCAAATACAAAGCAATACGAGGTTCAAAAGCCCCCAAATCACTCTGGCCAGGGGAAAAAAATAAAAAAACCCAAATCAAGTTATCGACCAAGAGGCTTGGATCTACAAGAGTTACGTATGGCCAGGGGTAAAACTGCAGTAATTTTATACTACTTCCGGTCTTTAATATAAGATCCTGTTTAACTTTTATTTTGGTCCTAAATATAAGACCCCGATCCACTTTGTCTCTCATATTTATGGATTTTTTCCAAGATAGTCCTTCTAATAATTGTAGTTCTAGCCAATATAGTTGATTAATAAGGGTATTTTAGGAAAGACAACACCTATTTATTACAAATAACTAACTTAACTTCTTTCCTTAATCTCCTCAAATTAGTCAACTGGGTCTTATAATTAGGAGCGGAGGTAGTATTTTAAGAGTAATAATGCTACACAGTGTAAGCAATCCTATGTGCAGTCCAGAGACACGAGTCTATGCCTCAATAATACATTTGTGTCAAAATACATGAGTTGGAGAAAAAGTGCTTACGGAGAAATATACGCTTATGCCTAGTTCTATATTGTGAATCCGTGTTCTGAACATTTTTATCATAAACTATCTGCGGTGCTGTATTCAAAATTGTACAGAGTTGAAGGAAACTTATGGGAGTACTGCACCTAAGAAAAAGCTAACTCGAGATTGGAAAATCCAAGGACTTCACTAAACATCAAAATTTTATATGTTGAAACTCAAATCTCATAACTTGCAACTGAATCCGAACATTCCTCCCTGCTGCTTTAGGCTATAGCTTTCCAGCCCTCAGCTATCTGCATAGCCACGCTTAGAACACATGGAAGGTTCTAATGACAATTGATAGGAACGTTGGGCCTATGAGAGAATCACACCCCAGAAACTTTTTGGTGGGCACAAGTATCTTCCTATTGGATACTATTGAGTACTAAATGTGGATACATCTCTCAGTAAAAATTTGAATCTTGATTCACCATGTTGCAGAGAAATAGTCTCTTCTGTTAGGCCCAACTCTTGTTAGGTTATCACTACCCCAAAAGCTAGTTCATGGGGTTGATGAGCAAAGTCTATCAACCGCAGGTCCAAATATCATGCTCCCAATGGGAGACTCGTCCCTTGCTTTGCACCTGGGTCCCAATAAAGATTTGCAAGACAAAGTCAGCTGTGGTCATTAGAGGAAGATACTCGTGATCACCAAAACCAAGAATATTGGACCTGTTGATGGATCTTCAAGACTTACACCCCATGATGAATATATGATCCTCTTAACTTTCCGCAAACAAGGATGTCATAGGTAGAGTCATCAGGCATGAGACCCCTTTCAAGCATCTCATCGTGCAGTCGAAAAGCCTCTTGGAAATTCCCCTCCCTAAAATATCCAGCAATTAAAGTGTTATAAACAAGTACTGTAGGAGCTATATTATTTCCATCCATTTCTTTCAACATCTTGCAAGCATCCTCTAGCTTCCCTTCATCACAGAGTCCACTGATCAAAACAGTATACAATATGATATCAGGCAGGATGCCCTGGGAACGCATCTCTGAGTAAATATCTAAAGCAAAACTCAATTTACCCACTTTAAGAAATCCATCAATTAGGGTCGTGTATGTCCGCAAATCACAAGGAATATTCTCACTTATCATTTTCTTCTGCATTTCAATTGCTGCGTCCATATTTTTCAAATTTCTGAAGCCACTAATCATGCTGTTGTAAACAATTTTGTTCGGATGCAAACCAGCCTCCACAAGTTCAGAGAAGTATTTGCTTGCATTTTCCATGTCTTGCCTTTTGCAGAAACCATGGATGAGAACACTGTATGCAGTAATATCCAATCCCAGACCTTTGTTTTTCATCTCTTTATGCATTTTCAAAGCAAGATTAATGTTATTGCTTTTGCAACATCCATCCATTAAACAGGTATAAGTGACAGAAGTGGGAGAAATTCCATTTTCACACATCTCCTTGTAGGTTGATATTGCTGAAACTATTTCACCTTTCTTGATATATCCATTTATTATGCTGTTATAAGTCATTGAAGAAGGACGAAAACCCATCTCAATAAACTTGTTCAGCATATCCCACATTTCAGACATTCGACGAACTTTGCACATGCCATTTACAATGGTGTTAAATGTGAAATCCACAGGTGCAATATTAGCAGCCTCCATCTCGCCAAACACATCTAAGGCTCGTTTAAAATAGCCTTTTTTGAAGAAACCATCAATCAAAATAGTCATAGTAATGGCATTTGGTTTTAAACCCCTTTTAAGAATCTCCTTCATCAAATTAAGTGCGTCATCCATGCAACCCTTTTTACAGTAACCAAGTATCATGATGTTGTAAGAAGCCACTGACGGTACAATTCCCTTATTTATCATCGTATCCCATAGGTCACTAGCCTCATCAACCTTACCATCTTTACAAAGCCAAGAAAAGAAGATATTATAAGTAATTGTGTTGGCAATACCATTATCAACAGCCTCATCAAACAATTTATATGCGTCTTCTACCAAATTTATTCTCAAGAATCCCCGTAAGAGGTCACTAATAATATAGGCAGTGGGCTGGATGCCCATGAGTTTCATTTGGCAGTAAAGTTCATATGCCTTTCCCATAGTCCCAATCTTTGAGCACCATCCAATTAAGATAGAGAAAGTAACCTTGTTTGGAGTGACGCCAGCCTCAACAATCTCATAAAACAAATGTAATGCACTAGCCACATCCCCTTTCACACAAAATCCTTTCATCAAACTCGTTGCAACAATTATGTTCATAGGCATACCACTGTTCGTCATCTCATCCTTTAGCATCAATGCCCATGCAAGATTTCTCTGCTTCACACAAGCACAAATCACAGATGTATATGTACCAGCGGATGGCGTCCATCCTGAATCTTTCATCTCCTTCAATAGCTTCACTGCCAAATCTGAGCAGGGCCTCTGACAAGCAGCCTGGATAACAACGCTATATGCTGCGGCATCAAGTTCCACTCCTCTAACCAATGCCTGTCCAAAATACTTCTCTGCCTCCTCAGGCTTCCCTTCTCTCAGACATGCACGCATTACTATATGCACCGTATAGCGATCAACACATATTTTTCTTCTAGCCATTTCATCATGCAGGTCATATATTTCATCAATCATATTTCTTCTAAGCATTGCCGTCAGAAGGATATTTATATGTGGAGCCCAGGTAGACACATCGTGCTCAAACATTGTTTTCAAACAATCAACAGCACTACTTATTTTATTAGCTCTAACACAGCTATTCAATAAATAATTGTAAACGCGAGGATCTGATACCAGATCGTACTTTTTCTCCGACTCAAACAGTTGTTCCATGAGCACCATTGGGGAGCCGCACAAATTTTCCAAAAGATATTTATTGAGCAACTTCCTAGCACCTTTCCGAGTCCGAGAGCTGGGTACTAGAATATGGAGCAACAAACAGAAAACATCAATGCAATATAGATAACCACTTTGTTCTTTAAAGAACTTCAACGCCAGTTCAGGTTCACTCTTGTATATTAGAAGGGTGTCCAAGACATGACTTTTCGATATAACTGGATTGCCTTCAGTACAGTTAGTAGACTGGATAGCAGCAGATTCCATGCAACAAGAGCTTTCATCTGAATGAGTTGCTGATGAAACGTTCTCAAGAAAAATGGACGACAACCGGAATTTCTCAGAAAAGTGGTTGCTTGAATCAGCCTCAGGTAATTGTTTTGAGCACAGATAATTATACTGTAAGAAATTGCAGATTCTGTGTCGATGGAATGAAGAAAAATTGATGGAAGATACGGGTCTCATTGCACAAAAGATTCAGAAAGTAAGCATGAATATGAAGGAAATTCGAGTTCAAAATTCTGACTTCAATGCTTGGAGTATCTGAAAGCTTTACAACCTGAAGATGAGCCTGTGGCACGAGGAGGAAGGCAGGAGAATGTCTTCTAGGGTAGCGTTTACGAAGGAAGAAGCACTTTTCTCGTCGCCGGCAGCGTTTTCGACGGAGGACCTATGGTCGTCGCGTGCAAGGATGAACAAGGGAACCGGCGACTACGGTGAAACACAACAGGGCAGCTATCGCAGGGTTTTGCCGGAAAGAGCTTGCTTTATTGATCCAACGGCCACGATTATCCTTCACTAGTAAACCCTCACGACTCTTTAGCATAAAAAGATTTTATTTAACTTTTATTTTGGTTCTAAATAAAAAATCTCAATTTATTTTATCTTTTATATTTATATATATTTTTTTAAAATAGTCTTTCTGACAATAATAGTTCTAGTTAATATACTTGATTAGTAAGGATATTTTAGAAAAAATAACACATATTTGTTACAAATAACTAACTTAATTTCTTTCCTTAATCTCTTCAAATTAGTCAATTAACTCTTATAATTAGGACCGGAGCTAGTAATTCATATCTTTAGATTAGAGTTTGAAAAACCATTTCAAACATTGAGTCAAAATTTTTCTTTAAAAAAAATACTAATTAAGAATAGGAAAATTACCAGCTCAAAAAAAAAAAAAAAGAATACGAAAATTAGAATGGAGGAGCTGGAGCGAGAATAATAATCACTGGGGAGGGTGAAGGATCAAAAATTAAAATATAAATTTAAAAATACTAAATTGTTGCTAGCCAAATTAAATCTTCTACATTCCTTCCTAAATTATCTCTCCCACATTAATTCTATTTTAAAACTTCAAATTTCACTAAGTTAAACAAAATTTTCCTCAATTTTTACAACTTGCATATATATATATATATATATAAAACAAATTACACGAATACTTATCAATTTTGAGATCTTTTTATGACTTTTGGCTAAAAAAAGATCTTTTCATAATTTATTATATATGTTAAAAATGTTATATAAGTCTAAAATGTAAAAAATAAAGTTAACCCAGTAAGAATTCAAAGAAAGTTTGTACAATTTTTTTATAAGAAATTTATGTGACTTATAAAAATAAAAACTTCACAAAACGTTAACAAAATAAGAAAATTCAGATAATATTTCATAAGTTTTGTGCAAGAATGGTAATTCTGAATGCTTTCACCGGAGAATACTTGTGAGTAAGCCAAAAAATAAGGGCTTTTAAGAAAACATATTCTAAATGGGTATATTTTAGTTACAGATTAACTTTTTTTTTTCAATGGTATCTAAGTGTTTTTATTATGCTATGATTGTAGATCCCTCATTTTTTTTAAAAAAAAAACTCATAATAAATGTTTTTCTTCAAAAAAAAAAATCTCAATAGTACCAAAAGTAGAAGAGCTCTTGAAAGTACTACAGAGAAGAACCACAAAAATAACAGGGGGTCCAAATCTAGCCTATTTAAAACATCTTCGAGGATGCAAGCACTTTCCCTGAATGCTCTCCCTAGTTACTGTCCACTCTCTATGAAACAAGCTTTACGCTTCTCTTGATTTACCCTAAGATTAGAAAGCATAATCCGGCTTTTCCTTTCTTCATGATCTTTTACAAAATTGTTCTGCTCCAACTCTTTTTTTTATGCGTCTGAAGTGATCATTATTTATAAATACTACCTCCGGTCCTTAATATAAGACTCTTTTTGACTTTTATTTTAATCCTAATATAAGACTCCAATCCACTTTGTCTCTCATATTTATACGTTTTTTTTCCAAAGTAGCCCTTCTAATAATGATAGTTCTAGTCAATATATTTGATTAGCGAGGATATTTTAGAAAAGACAACACCTATTTAGGACAAATAACTAACTCAACTTACTTCTTTAATCTCCTCAAATTAGTCAACTGGCTCTTATAATTAGGACCGGAGGTAGTACAACTTATTATGGTGAGATTGCGCAACGAAGATAGTTCCAGTAATTTATGGCTTCCCCAGACCCCTCCCCATGTTTGCTCAGCTGATCAATTTATAGTTTGTTGACATTGCTGCTTGTGTACCATTCTTTCTGTTTAACCACTTTCGCTTGCTAGGATCAGCTCTTTTGCCTTGTGATGACATCCTGACTCTAACATTTAGGGGAAGTTTGGGACCCCTTAGAAGCACTTAAAAGAAGTAAATTACTTTCGCGCAAGTCTCTCATATAAATTACCTTGAATACCGTAATTTGCTTTGAGTTTGCAAATAAGATTGAACAAGGTCCTTGCCCTGTTCAAAATTCCTGAAAGGTGTGAGTCCTCTATCTTCCATATACAAAAGCCCACGAAGCCACCTCAAAATGAGTCGCATGCATGCCCGAATTGCCACACTTCAAACTATACACGAAAACACCAACAAGGATTGAATTTAACAGAAGGAACTGGTCTCTCACAACGTGACAAATCAAGGCTCGAATCCCCGCTGGGAGAGGTATCCACGTTTAGTACCCAACAGTACCTCGAATAAGATTGTCTTCAATAAGAGGATACTTATGCTTTAACCAAAAAAAATTATACACAAATACTTCAAATAGTGTTCTATTTCTTAACTTGTACCAAATACTGAATACCTTTTTTTAAAATAAAAAGCCAATTTCATTAATTAAGAAACTAAACTTCCTAACCAATGGTCAAGAATACAGGGAAGAAGGGCACCTCCTAACATCATTTGAAATAAGAGAAGAAACGGGAGAGAAGAAAAAAAAGAGAATTTTTTTTGCCAGCCAAAAAAAAACAGAGTATTAAAATCAGAAGACAAAAGATTATTACATAACCAACATAACTTGCTTCCATTAACCAAATGCATCCTGAAGCAGCGGACAGACCAAGACAACGAATCGATCTCGAGCTGGAGCTGACACCAAGTCATGAGAATGCAGATCAAAAGCATGCGGCAAATAATACGGAGGTTTGCAGAGGTCCATGGGCTTTCCAAACTTGATCTCTTCCAAGATAATGGAAGCTTGTCCGATAAAGATTAAACAAAAAGTTTTCATGTTAACCCTTTTCCTCGTAACTCAAATTGACCAGAAACCTTCAAATTGGCAATCTTCCTGGGCATTAAAGGGAAGAGGATACCTATTTGGCTATAAAGGACATCCTCCTAACTTCTCATTCCTGCACCACTATTGGATATAGAGAAGCTACCATTGCAAGGCTTAAAGAGTTTCTAGCAGAAGAAGTCAAGGAATACCATTTACTCTTCAAGTAAAAAATGAATCTCACGTATTGCGGAAAAAAAAAACCGGAAAAAAAAAGAAAGAAAATAGAGTGAATCTTATGAGATTCCACAGACTACATGTCAGCATTAGAAATCTTTGAAGGCAACATTTACCATGGCAGTTTTAACTGTCAACTAGTCTGCCACACACAGGAGTACCAATCAGTATAACCATATGCAGATGCATAACCAAAATATAACCAGTTTTGCAGCTAGTCGCAAAAATCTAGGTTGAAAGCAAATCATGCGATTGTTGCATTTCTCCAAACCAAAAATATATCCCAGAGAGAATGCAATAAACCGCTAATTATAATGATGCTACCTATTTCTCCATTTCTTAAAACAACAACCCGTGTCTTACTCTTACACTTACGGAAGCAATTACTGGAAGTTGCTTACGTTATTGGAAAAATATAGGTTGAAATACTACATAGTTCCCAAGGTTTCACCTCTTTCTAACAAGGTCCCTATAATTTTGTAGTTTTTTATTTGGTCCTTCTGTATATATACATGGCTCTGGCATTAAACTTATCTATATGTGATGATGAATTCTTCAAAACAACCGTCTTCCATGCCACTTTAAAATGCACCATTGATTTCAATTATTAAAAATAAAGGTGAATGTAGATAATGAAGTAATATCCACTCACACAGTCACGTGTAACATGTGATACCACTGGCTTGAGTGAATCAGCAATTCAGCATAAATCATACATGATTCGAATGCCACAATGAGACAATAAAATCAAGATTTTAAGTGGGTGTTGAAATCGAGTGACACTGTCGAAGCAAATCATAAATAAACCAAACCAAAATCAAGCATAATTTGTAAGCGGAAAAATGCATTTGAAAGCAAGTATCACACCAAGAACATAAATTCAGTTGGCAACAGTCTTGTACAAGAAATTACAATCTTTAAAAGTTAAGATTTTCAGAAAAGCTCATCTGACGAGCCAAAACTAGAAGTGAGAAATGAGAAGGGAAGAGGTTACGACAAGGACGTCAATGAAAGATATCAAAACAGAAAAGAGAGAAATTATATGTTCATGTCATTTTGGATGGAGTAGTTGATCCGGGGATCGAGAAGGGAGGCAATCGCAGCACAGCTTCCTCGGTCTCAATAGGATCAGACCTCAGTATCTATTTGAAAAACAAAGAACAGTTTAATAATCCAAGTAAAACAATCTCCGAAACATGAAATTGATTGATAAAGAGAGAGAAGGAGATTACTGGGTCTTGAAGCACAGGCTTGGTGTCGTCCTTTGCTGGCCTGAAAGGAGGCTTCTGGTTCTGCCGTGGCTTCTCCGAGATCCGCATATTGCTGTTAGGTCGTATTGAAGAATCTGAAGTGTTCATCACTTCTGCCCGAAAAAGCCTTGGTGACTTTCCCTCCCGATTGGGCTGCTTTGCTACTCTAATCGCCGATGAATGAATTGAAACTGTTCATTCTGAGATTTCGCGCTACCCTTCCACTCTCTGCGATAACAGCTAAAACGCTGAATCTGCTGCCGTTTCTCACTCAGACACTTAAAAAAAAAAAAAAAAAACTTATATTAATTTTTTTAATTGAATTATTGATTATTGATATTTTCTTTTAGATACCAATAATAAGTTTTTTGTTCCAAAATAATAAGTTAAATATACAATTTATAAGGATAAATAAATTCATTGTTATTGATTAGCATTACTCGAAGGAACTATGGAAATCAATAATTTTATTTTACATAATAGATACCATTCTTCATGTTAACTATTTAGGACTAGAATAAATTTTTTTCCTTTGAGATAAAGTTTTTTGTTTAACTCTTAAACTACTTCTGATCTTAATATCAGAACTAATTTGATATTTAATTTGGTCTTAAATATAAGACATCATTCACTTTATTTTTCATATTTATCCTTTTTTTAGGATAATCCTTGTAGTTGTACATGTTAAAAATTACATCAAATGGTAGTTCAAGCTATGCACATGAATAGTAAGAGTACTCTGAGGAAAACAACATTTATTTATTATAAATAACTAATTTAACTGATTTTTTTAAAATTAATCAATTGAATCTTATATTAAAGATCGGACATGGTACCAAGACCGGACATGGTATTTAGATTCAAAATAATGTTTTATTGTTTTGTAATTTAAAAAATAAAAAAAGCATGAAAGTGACAGTGGACGGCTACTCCCACATGGAGTGGGGTGCTGGGAGCATATCAAAGACTTTTTTTTGGGCCTCAATCCGATGAGATTCCCAGTCCACTACAAACGATCCAACTTCCCTTAGGGCCCACCACTTTGTGATTTCGTAATCCGCTCCCTCTGTGGGCCCCAACCTTCATTGAAGTCCATCACTGACCCTCCGTGACTCAATGCTCCGCTGTCAATGACACAGCTTTCTGATATTCCCTTTTGGGACCACTCCAATCTACGAATGTAGCCACGCGCAATTACTCATGTGAATTCTGTTGGCCAGAAAACAAAAAAAAACTCATGTGAATTCAGTACGTAAAAAGTTTGTTACTAAATATTAATTACTTGTAGGATAATTAATGACATTTTTTCCATTTACTGATATACTCATGTTGTTTTAAATAAGTGAGAAAAAATATAAAACCTATCTTTTTTAATATCATTTCTATAATAAGGACAATTATAAAAAAAAATTATTATCAATTTAATATATTTTTTAGTTTGCGGGCCTAGGAGACAAGTGAATTATAAATAGAAATAAAGTAATATTATAATTCACTAGTTTATCTAATTTTTTAATTTACTGAAATTGAATGAGTAACACTTATATATTAATAATTATTTAAATACCGTATAATAAATAGACAAGATATATGATTCTCAAGTAACTGGCCAAAAACCCAACCAATTAGATAGATGAAAAGACCAATAAACCCTGTATATCTACTCATAATCGCTGACGTTGAGTTAATAGGAATTCTGAATAGTATAAAGCATTGTTGGGTTTAATACTGTGATGTATAGTGATTTCATTAGTTATGAGAAGCATTCGAAACAATTTGATCCCTCGCACTAATATAATCAGAGAGATTAAAAATTTGATTAAAAAGAAGCTAACAATTTATGTTGACTGAGAGTTGAGACTACTAGCTGAGCCTATTTGGTCTTGAAGGACTCGGCCAATCAATTTTTTCATATTAGATAAATTTATTTTTTTAAAAAAATATCATTATATTTCACAGTGTAATTTTATGATCACTGATTAACGTACGATAGATGAAAATAAGAGTAAATCGTACCTATTTATCACTCATAAAGAGCATAATTGATTCTTTAAAGTTGGTATAATAGACAACATATTTACACTTGATTTGTTAATAAAACAGTCAATTAGATGAAAAGATCAATAAACTCGGCCTTCTTCTAGTCATATTCAATCAGAATAATTAAAATCTCTTGTTGGGTTTAGGGGGGGTTTAACAACCCTATAATTACTTAAAAAAGTATTTTTCATAAAATTCGGAATAAAATTTTTCTCACGTATTTATATTATATATTGTAAAACCAGTTCTAAAATGTGATTATATATAATGATTACATCAGATTCTTAAAAGTTGTTTCGGATCAAACAATTTAATCACTTATCATCAACTGACTAATGCTGTTAAGGAGATTAAAGATAATGGCATGATGGGAAGGATAAATTTTGATTTTAATTGAATTGGGGGAGCCACAATTGATTTCAGCTTTTCTTTTGTTTTGAATACTTACCAAATAGTAGAGAAAATCATGGGGGAAAGAACTCCCTTCTCCCTGTGATCCACAGTTTATAAAGAGATTTGATTATTGTTTGCTATACAAAAACTAATTTATCATTAGTGTCATGGTTTTTTAAAATTGTTAATTTCCGTAAGATTCTATTAAGGATGTTGGTGTCATGGAGAGCCTGAAATATCTCATCATGTGGTCTTTTGGGAAGTTTCGCACTATTTTATAGCCGACTGAGGATATCATTAATTTTACAAAATCATTTTGCTTGCCAATAAAATAAAAGCAGAAAATTTTTTTTTGATACAAAAAGTTTAGGTAAATTCGGCACCGATCATCCCACCAAGGCCAAAGCATGGCACCAGGGCTCAGAGAGCACTTACAAGAAACTTATGAGATTGCCTACCAACAGAACCCTCACGACGGCATGGGGAATCAAATTTGCGTCCTTGTGGGATACAAATCCACTCCACTGATCATCTGTGCCAACGCCTGTTGGTTAAAAGCAGAAATTTGATTACGTATGATTGACCATCACTTTTGACTATATGGTGAAAAAGAGCTAATGACAATATCGATTAAGTTGCATAACAAGCCCAACATATGAATTTTGGTTGAGCACATATGGTATTCATCATGGGTATCAGTAATTAATCTCCTCCTATCATAGACTTTCTGAATAAATCTTAGTGCTGACTGCACAACTCTTTTCATACACATCGTTAGGAATCAACCCATTAACTAGATGCCTAAAGAATTTAACTATAGGCTTTGTGATTAGCATATCAATTTTGATTATCATAAACAACTACCTCCTGGGTGGAACAACCTTTTCCTTGTTAATTTTTATGATAGATACCATATTCCTATTTAAAGGGTGTTTAGGTAATCCTAGAAACACTTTTTCAGAAGTAATTTTTTGTAAATCGAAAAAAATTCTTTCACATATTTACTTAGTAAATTGTAAAAAATATTTTTAAAACCATGGTCTTATTCTCATCCAAATATCCTCTTAAAGTATGGTCAATTCTCATAATATATATTAAGAAAAATACATAAATCAGCAAAAAAAATTAGCAAAGCAAAAGCGTAGGCCCCAATGTGATGCCAGGAGCCGAAGACCATGTGGGTGTGACATGATGGGAACAAGTTGGGAACGAGAACTTTTGAGGGAATTGGGAATATGGATATGGATGAAAAGAGTGGGAAGGCAATTAGGTCCATCCTTTTTTGTTTTTTTTTTAATTGGCCCAAAGTGCTCCATAGAATCAATCCATCAAATCCTTGGAAATTACCAACCTTACTTTACTTCTTTGCTTGACTCTAGTGTTGTGTCCATCCATCGGTCATCCCAGAGTCAAGGCAGGCATATACAGTTCTCTTGTGCGGCACTAGTTTATGCCCACCTTTTCCCCCTCTTTTTGCCTTTTGGTAATTAAGTAATCATTATACATATATGCTTTTAGATTTGGAAAAAAAAAAGAAGAAGACAATTTGCAATACAGTCCTATTAAAAAAAATATATCAAAAAGTCTTAATAACAAATGAGGAGTTATCATTTTCTACTCTGAAATTTGTTCTTATAAATCATTTAATTGTCATTGAGATTTAAGTAATTATATTTCTTCCTTAAAATTTTATTGCAATTCTCCTAAAAAAAGTTTTTTCCTCTGAGAAAAAGTAAAAGCTAATATTGAAGTGGAGCATCCAAAGCTTCCATATAATAATAGCAACTTTATAATATTATATTATTATACTAAATTTTTAAATTTTGGCCCACTTCAAAGTAGGTTACAAGTTATCAAAGGCATTCGATCAAACAAAAGCTAATATTAAGAAAAATGGACTGGCTAAGGCATCCATCGCATTCTGGTTCACTCATGATGTTGAAATAATATGTCCTTAAACATTAAAAAAAATAACTATTCAAAATGATAAAAATGAAGAGTTTCATCCAAAAAAAGATATACTTATTTGACAATTTATAATTTTAGTACATACATGCCTATTTATTTATTCGTCTTCATATGAGTAAAAAAAACATGAATTTTAAGTTAAAAAATTAAATACGTGATTAATTGGTTGGATTATTGTCTTTATTAGTCAAACCCGATTTGTCATTAATTCTTTAGTCCTCCGATTTATTTCATCTCCATGTAGGACGTGACTGTCAGTTGAACTAGTCGATCTGATTCTGAAAATATTTATAAGAAAAACTTAAGTGAAGTTGAGAATTCAAGCATATTATGAATGAAAAATATGTTAAATGAATTATTCTTAATTAGACTTAATAATTATCCTCCGGTCCTTAATATAAGATATAATTGTTAAAGTGATTTTGGTCCTAAATATAAGACTTATTTCTCATATTTATCAATTTTTTCTAAACTACTCTTATGGATACTATACCAACCATAATTAAGTAGAAGAGGGAGGGATGATATTAAATTTTAAGAAAAACATGTTACATTTTTTATAATTAACTAAATTATCTAACTTTTTTAATTTAATCAAATTAATTAAATAGATATTTTATTAAGGATTAAATGATTACTAGAATTAGGCAAAAATATTTAATTTTTGAAGTCGTGCATGCATTTTGAGTAGTGTGACTCACCGACTCTTGTGAATCCATTATATATCCATCAGCCTTTCTTCGTTTTTTTTAAAAAAATCTTTTAAAGAGCCCCAAAAAAAAAAAAAACTCATGGGGAGAATGATTGGCAAGCTCTGCGAGTTTTCACGGCATGGGTGCCAAATGTCGTGGAACTTCAGAACCCTGATATTAGGGTCAAATTTCGCGACGTTTATCACCGTCCATCAGTTCCATCTCAGCCGCTGATAGTCCACAGTCACATCAGACGGTTTGAAAATGCTATTCAAATGCACGGTGTAGAAGACGCCAGAAAATGCGCTTGTTGTGTTTCCCCATAAAAAGGCCGGTGATGACAATGTCGCACACGTAGACACAAATGGATCAGTACGCAAGTTTCGGCTCCATCCGCATGGATGGAAAGCCTTTCCGATTGTGACACGTGTACGGTGGATAGTCCTCGTCCCTTCCCCCTCCTTCATTATAAATCCGGGCCACCCCATTCCCAGCAACTTGTTCTGATCAGTGCATTGTCAGTGTTGCGTTGATATCGTTGTGAGTTCTGTGATCTGAAAATGTCTTGCTGTGGTGGAAACTGTGGTTGTGGAAGCGGCTGCAAGTGCGGCGCTGGATGCGGCGGGTAAGTTTCCGACCCCTGTTGTCAATCTGTGTGTTTATGTGGAAAATCTTCGCCGGCGTTTTGATTGTCTTTCTTGGCAATTTCGATTTTGTGCCGTGAAACTTTTTGTTCTGCCTTTCGGTGATCTCTTTTTTTGGTTCACTATTTCGCTTTAGTTTAATTTCTCATAGATTTCACGCGATCCCCAACGATTAGAGAGAAGAGAATAAACCAGAGAGCATAACAAACAGGCGATGACAGAGAGATTTTTAAAACTCCTCCACAACACTTTTCTTAGTCCTTTGTAATGTTTTCATCTTGGTCATGTTTTGATGACACTTGTTTGGGTAAGATAATTAACTGAGCCGATTCATTTGTTAAATTTTGTCACAGTTGCAAGATGTACCCAGACATGAGCTACACCGAGACGACAACCACTGAGACTCTGGTTATGGGAGTCGCCCCGGTGAAGACTCAGTTGGAAGGAGCCGAGATGGGCGAAGCCGCTGAGAATGGCTGCAAGTGCGGGCCTAACTGCACATGCAACCCCTGCAACTGCAAGTGAGAGGAAGAAGAAGATGAAGCTAGAAGCAGAGATGGTTCCTTTAGGCGTTATATCTAATAGAATAAGCGAATGTAAGACGTTGTTGTATTGTGCTCTGGAGTGTTAGAATAAGGTGGTTATGGCACGACTAATTACCTCTAGCTAATTCTAGATTTTCTAGGGTTTTCCATGTGCGTGTTTTCAGGTCATGGCTGCTTTAACTTGTATTGTGTTTTAAGGGTGTTGTATAAAAGCTCAAATGAAACTGGGCATCTCTGCCTTTTAATGGAATCATATTATGGTATTTGATGAGCGTGCTTGGTGACCTCTCTCCCTCTTCCCTTCTTTCTTTATTCCTTAAAGTCCTTTTCATGTGGGGGAGTTCTTTTGTGGGCAGAGAAGAAATCCCAGATTTCCTGGCAATGATGGATGAATTTTGTATGAATTCTTCTGTTGCCTGGAAAAATGTGATACAAAAAATCTGGTCTCTGAGCCGATAGGGATTGGTCTTACGGTTTTCTACCTTCTTTTTCAACAAAGATATGGGATAATTTTCTTTAATTCTCAGCTTCCAAAACTCCCGTCACTCTCCAAACATCAACCCCTCTTCAACCTAATCACTTGAAAATAGATTTAAAAAAAAGAAAATTACAAACAAAGACTCTTGGATATATAAAATTATGATTTGAGGTTTTGAATTTAAAAATAGCAAATAAAGATCCGATCTTATTTTTGCAAATATAAAATAACAGTATGTTTAGAATACCTCTTAGTCAAATGATGACTACGAGAAATGACAAGTTTACTTTAATGAATGGTAATTTTAATAGACCAAATCACAACTTAACTAAAGGTATATCAAATGACGAGTTTATTATGGGAAATAACAAATTCACTTTAGTAAATGACAATTTCAGCAGATTAAACCACAGTTTGACTGAAAGACATTTCATACATTTCACCTACATTCATATTTACGAAAGTCGGATCGGATTCTCATTTGTTATTTTTCAAATCCAGGGTCTCAGATCACAATTTTATATATTTAGGGGTTTTGTATTAGCAATTTTCCCTTTGAAAAAATGTTGTTAAATTAAGTAACATTTTTTATGTCGCAAAAAATGTCTTATTTGAACTTACGGGTATAAAGCAATTATTAAACAAGAAATCAAGAACAAGCTTGTCGGGGGTAAGAATTACAGATTGAATATTGAATTGATAATCTAATTAAGATTCGTCCAAAAAGATACAGTTTAAATAATATTTGCGAATAATTTTGCTAGACACTACACTCTCAAAATAATATAAAAAATTTTAAGTCTAGATTTCTGGCAAAAAAAGAAAAAAGGAGAAAGGCTTCAGTTCTGGATATGAATGGTCGCAAGGGGGGGTTTTGCCATCCGTAAATACGGAACATATACATATATCAGGTTCCTTATATACATATACATGTATATATTACCTCCGGTCCTAATTATAAGACCTAGTTGACTTATTTGAGAAGATTAAGGAAATAAGTTAAGTTAGTTATTTGTAATAAATAAGTGTTGTTATTTCTAAAATATCCTTGTTAATTAAATGTATTGGTTAGAACTATCATTATTAGAAGGACTATCTTGGGAAAAAATGAACAAATATAAGAGATAAAATGGATTGGGGTCTTATAATTAGGATCAAACTAAAAGTCAAACGAGGTCTTATATTAAGAATCGGAAGTAGTATATATATATATATATATATATATATATGAAATAAAGACAGGTCAATGAATTGACTACCAAAATAACGAATCCCAAGTCTTACCATCCACGTTAGACAGCAAAAGGTTCAATCTGGAGCAGGTATGCTTATTTAAACAAAATATAAATTTTTTTTTTTCCCTGATTGCAGATACATTGCAAGGTTGCATTTTTGGTTTTCAGGCCAAAAAAAAAAGGGGTTGCAGTTTTGGCACCGTTCAATGTGCAATGGAAGTGGGAGATTTAGCGTCCATGAAGAGTGCTGGCTAGATTTGTTGATCTATCTCTCTCACAATCAAATCATTTCAAGATAAGGATTGTTGCTTAATTTAATCCCTTTCCATGTGCAACAACCAACGTGGGTCTAAACCAACTGATAATATCTTTGTACTGCACATGCTCATCATTACATTTCTCTTCTGTCAAACATTATCTCTCAGCAATATTACCTGCACATCCCAAAGACGATTATTACAACTCTAAACTTTGGATGACATTTCGATCATAATACTTCTTATATATTTAATATAAGGCCTAATTATTAAATTGATTTTGATCTTAAATATAAAAACTATTTTTTATATTTATTAATTTTTTTAAATTAGCTCTATAAATACTCTTTTGACTATAATCAAATAAAAAAATATTTAAAAAATATACAATATTTTTTATAATTAATTAATTTATCTAATTTTTTAATTTAATTAAATTAATCAAATAGTTTTTATATTAAGAATGAGTAATAAAATAATAGTCAGTTTTTCAGTACAACGTACTGCCACATCATTGGCGTTGATGACCGGCCATGTTAGTACCTGTACTTCACCTGCAGTACTGCGAAGATGAACATGAATGCAGATTATAATAGGAAAAATGAGGCACACGCTTAGGGAGTAGATTTTATTCATCTAAAATCACATAAAATGTGAAAATTTAGAGTGTTGTATTCTAATTATAAAATGACATTATTATCTTTTAAATTTTTAATTCATATTTTTTCTGTCATTACAATTAACAATCTTAGTAGTGATTATTAACAACCCAATAAGAAGCTATTGACAACCTAAGCAGTATTCGTTAATAACTGACTTTATAGGATCACATAACCTCTATATAAGAGTAAATTATAACTAAATAGTGTAATACAACAATTTTAATATTGAAATGGAAAGTTTTTCGAAGGCATTAAGAACTTTAACTAAACTCAATAGGATTATAGTAGAATTTTAATGCGGAGATCTATTAACAACCTCAACAGTGAGTATTGACAACCTAAGAGGAGCTGTTGACAACCTCGAAAGTGTCTGTTGACAATTAACTTTATAAGATAATATAACCTCTATGTAAGATCAAATTATAACTAAATGATATAACTTAACAACTTTAACACTATTTAGTTATAGTTGTTAGATTTGTAGTTATAATTTAGTTGTAGTTGTTAGATTTCAGCGTCATTATAATTTAGTTATAATTGTTAGATTTCTAGTTATAATTTAGTTATAGTTGTTAGATTTCAGTGTTATTATAATTTAGTTATAGTTGTTAGATTTTTAGTTATAATTTAGTTATAGTTGTTAGATTTTAGTGTTAAAGTCGATCTTATGTAGTTGCTATGTTATATTATTTAGTTATAATTTAATCTTACGTAGAGGTTATATTATCCTATAAAGTCATATGTCAACAGACATTCTCTAGGTTGTCAACAGCTCTCCTTAGGTTATTAATACTCACTGTTGAGATTGTCAATAGATCTCCGCATTAAAATTTTACTATAATCTTATTGGGTTTAGATAAAGTTCTTAATGTCTTTGAAAAACTTCCTATTTCATTGTTAAAATTATTGTATTATACTATTTGGTTATAATTTATTCTTATGTGGAGGTTATGTGATCCTATAAAGTATGTTGTCGGCGGATACTGTTTAAGTTGTCAACGGTTTCTCATTGAGTTGTTAATAATCGCCGCTAAGTTTATCAATCACAATGACAGAGAAAATGTAAATTGGGAATCTCGGAGGTAGTGATGTCATTTTACAATTAGAATATAATACTCTAAGGTCCTTAGAACCTGCTAATAATTTTGACATTTTGTGAGATGTTAGATGAATAAAGTTTATTCCTCCATATCTGTGTGTCATTTTTCTATTATAATATTACAGAACAACAAATGAAGTGTATATGTTAAGCATAACTCGGTTCAACTGATAGAGAATCATATCAGCTTAGATGAAATTACAGAAGTAATGGAAATAAGACAACTTAAGGAAACACCTAGGTTGAAATAAACTATAATTGACGTCAAAAGACTCGCATTAAAAGGCCTTTTTTCCCCCAACAATGAACATGAATGGAGATACAATTGATTAGGGGCTTGTTTGAAATTGTTTTAATATAAGTACTTATAAACATATTTATATAAACGAGATAAAACTCATTACATGTTTACTTCATATTTCTTAAATGAGAAAAGTTTCTTTTGAAAAGCCCTTTTGTCATTCTAAATAAGCATTAGATAGGGGTGTTTGGCCACATAGAATTTTTCATAAAATGAGACACTTCTCTACACATTCACATACTATAATTCTCTAAAAGTACTTTTAAAATTATATTTTTATTTCCATCCAAACACTCCACGGTCATTGATGTGACTAAGGTCCTAAGCCGTTAGATAGATCCCATTGCTTCAACCCCCAACTTCTTGTTTTTGTTTCTTTTTTTTAGGGGCTAAACACATGTAATTTTTTTATTTGAGGCAATGTGCATTATTTGAGATGTTATTCAGCACTAAATGTGAGTATTTTTCTTAATAAGATTTAAATATTGATTTATCACGTTGTGAAGGGTTAAACTATTATGTTAGTTCCAGTTTTTTTTGTTGAACCATCACAGGGTTTTGATTTTTTCCCCCCTAAGATTCTGTTTCTTTCCCTTGGTTTTGCTGTTGGGCTCCCGCACAACCTATTTGGGTACAAATAATTCTATTTATTAGTTGTACTGTTCTAGAGTTCAGCACTTCAAGTGCCAATCCGGTCCAAAAAAGGAGCACTTCAAGTACCAAAAACCCAAAAAAACAAAAAAAACGAGGTCAGTACTTCAGTCTGATTATTTTTCTATGACTTTTGTATTATTTTTTATATTCACAGTATGCGTCTTACCTATTCACAGATTTCTTAGAAATCATGAAAATAGAAAAGAAAAGTCTCTTCAAAGCAATAATAGGTTATCACGAAAAATTGGTTATTATTTGGTCCTTCTAGTAGTAAGTATTATTACAATTTTTAATTTTTTTTTATGGCTCACTCCTTCTTGTTATTATGTTATATCGTCATTTGAACCCAAAACCCCAATACCACCGGACCAGTTTTTATCCTTTTTTGTGATAAAAAATTAATTCACACACAGTTTTTGTTTTGGCCAATTAATTCGTATAATTGTTTCATATATATATAAATACACACACTATCTCCGCTTCATAATATAAAACATTGTTTGACTTTTATTTTGATCCTAAATATATGATCCCAATCCACTTTGTCTCTCATATTTATATATTTTTTCTCAAAATAGTCATTCTAATAATAATAGTTCTAGCCAATACATTTGATTAGTAAGGATATTTTAGGAAAAACAACATCTATTTATTATAAATAACTAACTTAAATTTTTTTTAATCTTTTTAAATTAGTTAATTAGTTCTTGTAATTAAGACAGGAAATACTCCTCCGGTCTTTAATATAAGACCCATTTAACTAATTTGATTAGATTAAGGAAGTTAGGTAAGTTAGTTAATTATAAGAAATGTGACACGTTTTTCCTAAAATACCATAATCATCTTTTTTAATACCTCATTTTCCTTTTCTATTTGATTATGGTTGAAGGAGTATCCATAGGGGTAATTTAAAAAAAATTGATAAATATGAAAAATGAGTCTTATATTTAAAACTAAAACCAACTCACCAATTGGGTCCTATATTAAAAACTGAAGGAGTAGTATATTTTAAAATTTTTCATAATTTTCGGGTCCACGAACGGGAATAATTTCTGTCTCCCCTCCCCTCCCCTCCCGGCGAAATTAGATTTTTCTGAAGGGAGAGAAATAATCTGCAAATTCTCGCTAAATTGCCTATGTAAGTTTTTCAAGGGAAAAGTCAAAATTCCAATTTTACCCGTTTTGATCGTTATCTTCAGCCCCTCTCCTTCAGCGTTGTCGCCTTTCTTGGTCGCCTCTCCTCCTCCGTCGATCGTCGCCGCCATCTCTCTAGTCGAGGTTCTTCAACACAAATCTTAAGGGTGGGTACTGAATCGACTCCAGCTTTCTTCATCCTTCTTCCTCGCCTGGTCCTTGTATTTCTTCTAATCGCCAGAGATTGACGATTGGTCGTGTGTGGAAGCCGCATATTGTTATATGCCGTAATCTCAACCTTCTAACTCTTGTCTCAATGGCTTTACATGTACTTTATCATTTGGTGATGACAGTAGACCCGTAGAGGATTCTTATTGCATTGTTCAAGTCTCCCCTTCCATCCACTTTTTGTCTTACAGTTCCGAGTCCTCAGTGTCCTCTACTCTCCCAGTAATGTCTAATTTCACACTCAGTCTCTTTGTAATTTATCGGACTCCCAGGTCTCTCGTCGCTGCCGAGGTTTAAGTCAGACATCGTCGGCGGCGCTCTCTCGTCGGCTGCAAAAGTAAAGACTTGGAGGGTATATTTATTTCTGCTTCTATATGCTAATATAAAAAAATTAGAATGTCGCTATTTAGAATGTTACTTGTTACAAATTTTAAAAAATAATTTGCGCAGTTTCCGTTTTTACAATTACTTAGAATTGCGGCACTTAACACATGGATGATGAGATACGGGGATGTTCTACAAGAGAGGACAGCGACGATGAAGCCTTTTTGCAAAATAGTAGTGACGAAGAGGAACATCACTTTTCGGCTGGTTCCATGCCCAAATTGCAGTTTCGGTAAATGATTTTGGATGACTCAGTTAGCTGCTTAGGGCGGATATATATATGTTTGCAACGACAATTAACTTCGGTTTTTATTTTTCTTGTGTTTTGTTTTCTAGGGCCGTGAAATCCAAGGCTAGGTGGAAAGATGACATGGGAATGGCAGAAGTTATTGAAAAGAAAGGCAAATTGTGGGTAACAACTGGAATCATTCGTGAAGGCAGGACATATTGTTCAATTGAGGAGACTCTGTAGGTGGAATGTCAACCTTTTTCTTTATTGCCTCTCTCTATTTGTGAAATAGAAAGGGAAAATTATTCTGGAAATCTGGAGTTGCTCTGGTCAATGTTTATAAACAGTGATATAGTTGAATAATGTCTGAATCCAAAGATTTCTTGGAATTAAATTTTTACTTAGAAGTAGCAGACATGTATTAATATTTTGTAGTGTGCTACAGCTAATATTGTTTGAAATGATAATCAGATGTGTGTTTATATATTCTTGGGAAAATCAGATGTTTCATAATCCTTCTTGGTTATATTAAGTTTGATTTGGCAGGTATTTGATGGAATTAGGAGCGTTACATCTCTTGGATAACTGTGATATATGCATACGTCTAACAGACATATACAGGAAGGCTGCAGGCAGGGAGGATGGATGCTGTTGGGAGCTGTTTGAGGCCTACAAGCACCTTAAATCTCTTGGTTACATAGTTGGACGGCATGGTGTTTCTTGGAGTATGAAGGATATTTCAAAAACTGTCCATAAACCTGCTGCTCTTGAAGTCACTGAAGAAAACAATCAATCAGAAGACATGGGTTCCAGAGATGAGCAATCCTTAAATGAGTTGTTCAGTGAGATGCATATTAACGAATTGAGGCCGGATTTTGATGTTTATCTCCCAAATAACAAGTTTCGGAAGACTTCTCCTGGTGATCCAAGTTTTCTGCTCCACTTGTCCAGGTAGTTTTAGTTCTTTAATTGTATCAATTTCATTAATAAGCTGAAGAAAATTCATTAGTTATTGATCCAAAAGCTGGCTTTTTTTTTATTTTTTTTGATCTTTTATATAAATGATAATGTTGTTTTGAAATCAAAGAATATTGAATAGGCTTTTTCTCCTTTTTTTTTTTTTTTTTTTAAGTGTCACTGTCTCACCGACTTATTTTGTTGTAGGACCTTCTAATTATGAATTAAAATTAGAGGAGTTTGATCTCTGTATAATGAGTCGGGAAAAAAACCCCCCTTTCTTTTTGTTTTATATATTCAGTGAGGTGCAATAATGATATAAATCATCTACTTCTTCTTTGCAATGCATTACTTTGGTAGATATTGCTTCATTTTGTAAAAGATTGTGTTACCCTATATTCTTGGAGGGTTTATTGGTAAGATCATGCATTGGAATTATGTGAAACCTGAATCTTAATACACTAGGGAGTGATGAATCTCGGTGAGAATATTTATTGACACGCTGAGGATTGCTTCAACTTCTGTTCCTCTCTTTATCTCATGCACACATTAATATATCTGAATTTTGAGATTACTCCTCCTTTTCATTTGGAAGGGGCCATCCACCATCAAGAGCAGAAATTGAAGTCCTCGAGAAACAATGCGGTGAGATTCCTCTAAAAATTTCTCTGGTTGAGGATGGGCGGGTCAGTTTCTTTTCGTTTGACAAAGTGGAACTTCCTGTACTTCCCTGAATTGTATTTTAGTATTTTATTTATTTCTCCCAATTTTGTTGTTATTGGCTTAGCGGAAATTAGAAAAACAATTAGTTTAGATACTTGTGAAGCTGGATAGTTATGAGCATTGAGATAAGCTTTGTTCAGGTAGATCCTTCAGTGGAACAGTTACTCTGCTCTGTTTCACAAAGCTATGAATGCTCTGTTGGCAATATGCATATTAATATCAGTATTTTAGTTTGCGCCAGCAGGAGTTCTTGGTCCGTGGGCCTTTAAAAATTGAGATGGCATCGTTGGCTATCAAAATATTTTAATTCATTTAAATAAGTTGAGAAATACGGCTTCGTCCCCCTATTTGAACTACAAACTGGACCTTATATTAAGAATCAAAAGTATTATGTGGGAAGTAGGAAGATGGATGAATTATATTGTTCATTGCCTACATAACGGGTTCTGCAATCCGTTCCAAGAATGCACCTGAGTGTCCGAAGAGGAGAATTAAGGTGTGTTTGGATGAAACCAAACTATGGTTTGAAAAAGTGATTTTGGAGAATAGATTCTGGGAAGAATAGATTTTATGAAAAAGTGATTTTGAGAAATGAGAGTGTTTGGATAGTTGTTATCAGAAACACTTTTTATATATACAAATTACTAAAAAAAGAATAAGTTAATATGATAATTACAGAAAAAATAGATTTTATGATATATTTTAATTTAAAGGAATAAAATTATTAATAATATATTTTTTATTAACATAATTAATAATACATAAGATAATATAATTAATAAATAATTAATATGTATATATATTTATAAAATATAAGATTAAATATGTTTATAAAAAAAATAGCAAGATACATATCCTATAGGCTCTCACACTCTCCCTTTTTTCTCCAAAAGTAAATTTTTTTTGCTTTTTCCAAAACCATGGTTGTGGGCCAAAACCATGGTTTTGGTTTTTAGGTGGGTGTTCGGGTGATTTATTTCCCAAACCATGGTTTGGGGTGTCACTCAAAGCCTTAGTCCTACAGAATTCTTACCCAGACAGGAACAAATGTAAGCTAAAATCAAATTTGTTGTCACTTACAAGTGCTGTATCGATGACCATTTTAGTACTGGTACTCCGCTTGCGGTACTGGTTACTTGCTGCATAATCTGGTTAATACTTGGAACGCAAAATATAGGACAAAATGCTAGAAGCATTAAAAATGGAGAAGAAATAACCATGACAGATGAGCGTGATGGTTCGGCATCTCGTTCTTTAAGCAAGTGGTTGGAGGGTTTGACTCCTAACTCTTGTGAATGGAAAACACCTCGTGACTAGCTCCCTGTTGCTTTGTGCGCCGACAGTGGGGACGAAGGATTAGTCCCATGGCTACTAGCTGTGGGGATATTATGGGAAAACCTTAAAAAAAAATTTAAAAGAAATAAAATAAAAAAATTATTTCTTTCATTCGCCACAGAAAAATATAACTTCATTTGTTCAAAACGTTATTTTTATGAAAATTATTATTAAAATATTATTTTTCAAAATAAAAATTGCTTAAAAATCAAAATTATTTTTATATAATAGTAGTATTAAATTAAGAAAGTAGTTTAAATTATGAAGAAAATTAAAACACTGATGGTAAGAAAATCACAATAATTGCAGAATTCATTGACCAATAAGACAAATAAAAATTACTTAAAATCAATAATTATTTTGATGGGGCTTAAAGTCATCGAGCAAGATCAAGCCAATCAAGTGAATTCAGCACCCTTCTAATTTAGGGGCGGTTGTGCAAGGATCGGATGAAAATAACACATAGTTGAAGGGCCTAGAAGCAAACAGCTAGATTTTAGCCGGCGATATCGTGGCCTGTTGCATCGTTTAGACTTTAGGGTTTAAGCAGGGGCTGTTTCGTTCTTTCCTGTTTCGGACAACAGAGCCGTTATTCTGCTGTAGCATTGAGCCGCTGAAACCTTGAGTACGGTAGGAATATTTCTCGTTTTCTTTCTTTCTTCTTCAAATCGATGATGGACAAGAGCATCTTCGGAGACTTGGATTCTCTTGCTGGAGAAGATAAGGAAAAAATGTCTGCCATGATCGGTCAGCTTCAAGCCCGAGACAGGTTCTTTCTCCTTCTCTCACACTAATAAATGCATGAATACCAGTTTCTAATCTATGGTTGCTTCTGTTGTCCTCTAGTTGCTTGCGTTATATGAATCATGCAATGGGAAGTAAAAGTCATCTTTGGGTTAAAACTTGTTTTGCGCAAGTTAATTGAATTGACGGAGGAGAAGTCGTGATTTTAGTGGAGACCTTGATGCTACGCTCTTGTTCGTGAGCGGAACCTTAGTTGCCCATTAATGTGTTAGTGTTCGTTAATAGAATTAGATTGATGCTTTGATTATGGAAATGTAGAAGATACAGGGATTGCTGAGGTAAAAATTGGAATACATACTTGTGAATCAATGACCCGCTAGACATATAAACCACTTGTGTAGTGTGTCTTGTATGTGGCTGTTGAAGATTTGAAGTCATGAACTAAGTCATGCTTTGATTTCTTTCTGTCACTTGGAAATGCTTATTGATCTATGTCCTGTAGAACAACAAGCCATACCAGTGCAGAAATTTATACTGAGGAAGAACAAGATTATTTATGTTGGGTAAAACAGCTTGGAACAGAGGAAAGGATTTGTATAGATATAGGAAAAGAAGTAAATAGACTTCATCTTTAGGTCATTTACAAATAGTTCATCTGCTTGAGAAGTACAAAACTAGCTCCCCAGATTCTGGTTTTTAAGTATTTAAAACTTTTTTTCCCATTTCAATGACGGGATACTACTTTAGGCTGTTTTCTTGCCACGTAGCACACTTCCATTGGTCTAAAAATGGAAGTGGTGTTTAGAATATTAAAAGAACACTTGTACTGGAGTGAAATGTCCCTACCCTATAAAAAGGGCAAACACGAAAGGATGATGAAAGCCTGGTTCGCACTTTCTGTTTTATTATTATTAATATTGAAATGGTTTTTGTAACTTCATTTGTATTTTTACCATAAATATTGCCATAGGTTTGGACGATAGTCTTTAACATATTAGTTGATGGTTTAGAGGACAACTTGAATGAATGCTTTAGAATTGCACTTGTATTTGGAGTTTAGAACACCAATATCTCACTTAATCGCAAGCTTTTAAGCAAATTGTTATATATCTACGTGATCCATGGCTTTTCCATATAGAAAGCATGTTTTATCTTTTTTCATAATTAATCTAGAGTAGTTCTGTCTTCTTCATTGGAGCATATGTTGGATATGATTATTGATTTATTCTCCTCTAAAACAAAATTACAGTCTAAGGATGTATAATGCACTAGTAGAGAGATGTTTTGTGGACTGCGTGGATACATTTTATCGAAGATCCCTGACCAAGAAAGAAGAAACATGTGTTCGTAGGTGTGCTGAAAAGTTCTTGAGGCATTCAGTTCTTTTAGGGTTGAGCTTTGCAGAACTCAATCAAGGGGGAACCACAACAGATTAATGCGTTTTTGTATAATATCTGTCATAGATTTTTTTTTTTTGTTCTTCCATGTATTTTTCTCATTTTAACCCAAAAATAGTTGATGGCAAGTGAAATTCCTTCAGTTAGGAAATTCAAAGAAAGTGAAATTACTATAGTTTTAATTTCGCTTCCTTTTTCTGTAATGCTGAGCTCTTCTACATTTTAGATGATCTTTCTACGTTTTGTTCCACTAAACTTCCCCCTTGACATACAAATAAATATGATTATTTTATAAATAAGCAAAGTCCATAGATAAAGGTAAGTAGTGAAAACTACATAATTGATGACATTATTGCAAACCTTTTTCATCAATTTTCTTCAACCTTACTTCCAGTTTAGCACTAATTATTTCATTAAACAGTTTTTTTTTTAAAAAAAAAAATTTGCCCGAGCATCAAACGATATTAATCGTTTGACATTCAAAATTGGAGTCCATGTCAACACTACAGATTTTGGATGTAAAAATGGGAGAATTATCAAGAGGTCTTAGATAAAAAATTTAATTACTAAAAAGTCTTAATAACAAGTGACTGATCTGAACATCTTGTCACTCTCTATTCTGAAACTTGTTATTGATTACTCTTCACTTGTCAATAAACTTTAAGGTAATTAAATTTCTTTTTTTTGAGAGTTGATTGTAATTCTTCTTATTAAAAAAAAAAGCTTTATTAAATTTTTTTAAAAAAATATTTAAAATTGTCTGTTAACCTTCTTTCTTGCCGGAGTCCGTTTACTATATCATTAATCGATAGTTGAAGTCGATAGACCATATGTTTCAAGGTAGGTCCTCAAATCCGATGCAACTAATCATATTCAACCTGGTTGTTGATGTGATCATCCGAACTTATTTTAAATTGGACTGATCTACGTGGTTCACTTTATTCGCCCTTTTATCTGAATTATTTAAATTAAATGTAAAGGATTTAAATGATTTTTCTCCGTTTTGACCAAAAAATTTTTTTTATTTAAAGAATAAAAGTAAAAATAGAACATAAGTAATGATAACTAATTGAAATAAAATTTTCTACATTAGAATTGAATTATCTTAACAAATAAAAATAACATTTATCTCTCTTGCATTTTTTTCCAACAATGAATCAATTTTCTGTCATATAAATTAAACACTGAACCCTAAATGCCTAAGAAGAAAAGAAGAAAAGGCTTATTAAAATTGTTTTTGTTTGTATTATTATAAACATTGAACCCTGACTCATTTTTTTTTAATAAACACTACACTTTAACCGTTGGAACGTTTCATTCACACCACATGGCAATTAACGTCTCGCGATCTCCCTCCCATCCAACGGTCCAAACTTTCCCGCGGTCCCTTCCCCCGCCATCCATCTCCCAAACTTGTTCGACTTTTATGTCTTGTTGGGCTTGAGTGCCGTTTGAGTTCAAACTTTTTGTCTCTTAACGCACAGTCATCCCGTTAACCGCCGTTCACCGATAGGTTTTTTTCCTTCTAATAACCTGCAAACCCCGATAGGCTTTGGTAACGGAAGTCAACGGAGACGTCGGTGATCACATATTCGTTATATATAAACTTGGCTTTATTTTATGATTTGATTTTTCTTTTCCCGTTTTGCTCCTTTGTTTCAACGGGCGAGGATTTTTCGAAACCATAGCTCTCTTGTTTCTCTTCTCTGAGAGAGATAATCTAAGGTTCGAATTCTTTGGATTCTTCTATTAGCTGGACTTTGATTCCCGCCACTCCTCTGCTAGCAGAGGTTCACCAATATCGAACAAGTTACAAATTGTTTCTTTTTTTGTTTCGCTCTCCACAATTCAGCTTTATTTTCTCTGGGATTGATCGAATCGTTGCGTCCTTTTTCATAATAAAGGACTTTGATTTGTCTCCTACTGATTTGGGTTATTTTTCTGGTCAAAACCCGAGAATTATGTGTTTCTTGTGATGAGAGTTTTTCTGCTTTATTTCGTCTGTAATTTTTGATCTGATGACTGATTATAAGATCTGGGTTCTGCTTATCTGTCTATTTCACTGCGGAGGTTTTGAAAATTATGGACACCAAGTGGGGTTTTTGGGGTCTTTGGTGATAGGTAGAGACACTTGTGTGTGATGGGTTCTGGAGGTGCTTCTTAGTCTTTTGCGTTATCCGCCCGTTTGTTGATTTGGTTTTGGAGATGATTATAGGAGCAGATGGCCGAGGTGAAATCGGTGGAGTGTTGCCTGGAGAATAAACAAACTATTGCTGCTTCTAGTTCCTCTATATCTGAAAGCAGTGGCAGTGCTCTACCCAAGTCCCCTGGAATATGTAGCCCAACATCCGCATCACCCTCTCATCGGTATCAATCATTCAAGTTCAATACTTTTTCATTGCAGCTCTATTCTGGAAATTCCAGATGGTCTGATGCGACATGGGGGGGATTGATTTTTGTGCCCAGTGTGCTGCACTATTCATCTTATGCCTGTCTATTTTTGCTTAATTTCACATTCTTCATTAGTGACCGGTTATCTTTCTCTACAGTGGAAAAGTTTTACATTTTCAATTTCCTCTATAGTCTTTATGAGTTTCTGTTCATAATGTGAATATTTTGATCATACAGGAGAACTACTGGCCCTATAAGGCGTGCGAAGGGTGGTTGGACGGCTGAAGAGGTTAGTATCTGGAGAGGGTTCCTCCTTTTCTCTCATTTTTTGGTTAGATGCAGCCAATTAGGAATGGAACTCAGCTTAGTTGATTTAATTTTTATGAATGTTCGTGTACATCTACAGAAAAAACATCAAAACTTTCTTTGATTTTATGATGTCGTAACTCGAGAGTGCTAGATATGTTAATACGTCTTTTATATCATTGTGCTTTTGCTAATTTTATATGCTGCCGTCTAAATTGTTCTTAATGCTTTCTTTATCTTACTGAAGGATGAGACACTAAGGAATGCTGTTGCAATTTTCAAGGGAAAGAATTGGAAGAAGATAGGTGATTATGTTTGCTTTTACATAGCATCTAACTAATATGATTTACTGCTTCTATACTGCTTTGGCTGTGTTCAAAAATGGGTGATGATCCTTATGCGTGATTTGCCTGCTATGGTGGATATGCATATCTTCTAGGAAAGTGAGTCCATTCAAATCTAGGGAGCATGGACGTGAGACATGGCAGTAACACGGACATGATGCATGATAAAGTTTGAAACGTTGATGTGTAATTTAAAGGGTCACATAGTGTTGCATTGTTTCTAATAAGAGCGACCAACATGTATTGGGCGCCCCTTTTTTTTTTTTTTTTTGAAATCTCTGTGAATTATAGGTTTAGATGAATTTATAGTTGAAATTACCTCCGATGCTTGTAAAGAAAGTTTTTGTTATACAAGACTTGTTTTGTTATTATTGATGCTTTGGATCCTAGAGTAGACAGTAAAATTTATGCAGTGAAATGGGAGAAGTATATAATTTATAATACATAGGCTTCTCCTCATGTTTAGCTAAGGTGCTGCTGCTCTGGAAGACAGAGAAGTGAGAAATAAACTTCTAAAATATATTTTTTTAGATATAAGTTTCTTGCCACTTTATCGTTTGATGACAAAATATACAGAAAGAAGTGTTGTATTTGTGCAAACCACAGCAATTTGCTTTTAAGCTATAGTGTAGATGATATATTTAGTACCTGGTGTTTACCGTAAAAGAATTGCAATCAGTTTCATGACAGATTTAAATTTTGGAATGCAGCTGAGTTTTTCCCTGATAGATCAGAAGTGCAATGTCTCCACAGATGGCAAAAAGTTCTTAACCCAGAACTTGTTAAAGGGCCTTGGACTCAGGAGGTTGAAACATATTTCTTTTTGGGGGTCATTTTCCCTACAAACTTATTGAAGCGTTAACGTCCCTTTCTTTTCTGGCTTACAGGAGGATGATAAAATTGTTGCACTAGTGTCAAAATATGGGCCAACAAAATGGTCAGTAATAGCCAAGTCCCTGCCTGGTCGTATAGGGAAACAGTGCCGAGAGCGGTAGGTTTACTGTTGTCTAAGTGGAAGTTTTATGTCTCTCATCTCTTTTACTGATAATTCCTGAAATTCAATGCTCACCAAAATGACTTATGCCTTTTTTATTGCATATTTCGAACTTATAGAGTCTTCATTTAATCAGCATTTTCCCAAGTTTAAAACGGTGATCAGAATCTATTACCGCTACGTCTGATATCTTCTTCTATCTTCTTGTATGAGCTACTTAATAAATAGTGGTTTCTTCTTGTTTGCCTTTCATTTTCCCCCTTCTTATGTACTCTTCTGGACATGTGTTCTTCATAAACATCGAAGAGTTAACTTGGTATTAGTATATGGGCTGCGTTATCATTGATTAATTTCAAAAATTTACAGATGGCACAACCATCTTAATCCTGACATAAAGAAGGATGCCTGGACTTTGGCAGAGGAATTAGCCGTCATGAATTTTCACTGTATACATGGGAACAAATGGGCTGAAATTGCTAAGGTCCTGCCTGGAAGGTATGCTTCCTTTCATTTGGTTAGTAGTTGTCATGAAGAAAATTAAGCTGATTGTCGAGTATGATTTGAGCTGAAATAGCACAGTTCATCACTGGGAGTCATGTTTTCTCTTATACTTCACTGCCATTAACAAATGTTGCTTTAAATAAAAAAGGTTGACGTGTCATATTAAGTTTACTTGTGTGATCAATAATCATATTTATCTACATGAATTTTCTCCTGCAGGACTGATAATGCAATAAAGAACCACTGGAATAGTTCATTGAAGAAGAAGTTGGACTTTTATTTAACTACTGGACAACTTCCACCAATTTCAAAGAATAGTCCAAAAGTTGAGGTCAAAGACAAAATAATATTCTCTGCAACAGAAACAATTCTTGTTAGTTCAAATAAAGTAGTAGATGCGGCTACTGCAACATCATCAGAAACTACAGAGATTAATAAGCAAGATGACAGTGGTAAGAATCACTCAAGGAATATATCAACAGCAAGAGATGTTGGTGATTCTTCAAATGTCCCTGCAAATGAATCTGCTGATTCTGATTGTATAGAATGCAAGCCCAAGTCCTCCAATTTAGACTTCAGCTGCTGCGACTCAGAACCAATGTCAAGAGACAATCCTGGAATGAATGGTGAACAAGCACATGAGAAATCTGGACTCAATGACAAGCTAGCAAGTGAGCATTGTATAAATAATGGTGAAATGAGTAGTAACAGGTTGACCACAAAACCTTGTTCACAGGAAGGTCCAACTTGTGGTTCTTTATGTTATGAACCACCGCAGATGGAGAATTTGGTTCCCTTAGATTCTCTTTATTTAAATATATTCTGTCTCCAAAATGACTACAGTTCTACCCCCGTGATGTCTCCTGCTGGTTTCTTCACTCCACCTTGTGTGAAGGGTCGTGAATTTTTCAAACAGACTCCTGAATCAATATTGAAAATGGCTGCTAAGACTTACCCAAATACCCCTGCCATATTGAGGAAGAGAAGGACTGGAGTCCAGACACAAGTCACTCCCAATAAAGTTGTGAAAGTTGATGGAGAATCTCATGCTTCTATTAGTCAGCAGAGAAATAAGAATAATACTGATTCTGAAGTAGGGAGGTTCTCCGAGAGTCCAGCAAGCCATGTCCATGGCAATGACCTTCCCGATGGCAAAATTTTCAATGCATCTCCTCCCTACCGGTTAAGATCCAAGCGAACAGCAGTTGTCAAGTCTGTGGAGAAACAACTTGAGCTTGCATTTGATCAAGAAAAGGACAACGGAATCATGAGGAAAATGGAAAAGTCTTCAACGTAGAGCAGCATGATGACACTGCGATGACTGTAGGACTGTTTATAAGAAACAAAATTATGAAGTGGCATATTGCATAAGTTGTAAGTCCTTGCTTTTACTATTTCTTTTTATTGCACTGGATTATGTTTCTGCTTAAATTTGAACGTATTAGATGGGTTATGGTGCACAATGAGAGACCCATTTGTCTGATTTAATAGAAGTTTAACAAAAATAAGGAACGCAAGTCAATTAACTGGAAGTGGAAGATACTGATGAGGTGTTTACTTGGATTATGATTTGATAATTGTTGGAGACGGAGGAACTTTTGTCTCTTATGAAATGCTTTACATATGTTGCTGAGATATGATGTTATAACTACTTTATATAATGCCATTGAGATTTGAATATAGTCGTTGTTAGAGGGATGAACTTTTATATTATGTGGCTGAAACGATTAGTTACAAATTACAAGGTGTGGTCGTTGGTCAAGACAGAAGAATTAAAAAATCGAAGTAGTTGTCTTTCTTACCTGATCTGTGACTCTCTCTCTATTTTCGTGAATAGAGTTGTAACTTTTATGATGTTCACCAGGAAGAGATGTAACATCTGTGAGCTGAAAAAAAGTAGTCATGGAAATTGTTTACATCACACTTCTGTTTTAGAACTATCAATATTAATGTTATATGTTGACAATAAACTTCATTAGTAGTTTGGTCATGTGTTCTCATTGCGGGAGGATGATGTTATTCAGTTATATTGTCGCTATCACTATTGGTTTTATCAATCAAGAATAGCCTTCAATCTAAAAGGCAGGGAAACATGCTTCGCCTTGTTTAAGGGAAATTTACATTTGGTCGGTCAGAAAAGATATGTCGGTGTTGCTTTTTATAGCTGCTGGTCATTTATATTTACATTTTTATCACATTTTATACCCTGTCTTTGTCCCTCCTGGAGTTTTTCTAACGAAAATAATATGATAATAGCAAGATTTGTCTTGGATATGTTAAATTGTTATTGTTCTTATCTTGTTTGTACGCTCTAATCTGGATACAGTTAAAACTTGTTGATAGAGGAACTGGAGTTCATGATATTGTTCGCTGTATGGTATTGAGCTGTTTTCTATCGTTGAACCATATCATATAACTCCATTCTCTTGCCTGTATTTCTTTTTGGAGGAGATAACGTCTTATCGTTGAATTGCCTTTTGGTTATGTTCAATTACCATTGGCTTATGTTTGTGTTCTGATACGATCACATTGGCTTTGAATTGATGTAGGGTTAAAGGCGGGACTTGCAGTTAAGACATTGGCCATCAGAAGCGGTCAACTGATAGGAGTTTTAACATGTTGTAAAAGCTTTCTCTGAATCAAAATAAATTGAGCACGCTTGAAAGTTGAGTTTTGCAGACAAGAGATTAATACTACTACAATGAAGGTGACAGGCAAGAGGTTTTGTTTTACTCTCGTGAATAGAATTCATTAAAGGTAGGGTTCTGGTATATTAGAAAAGAATTGATGATAGATTCCATTTACTTGTGGATATGCACAAGTTTTTGAACATACCAGATTTGTACAGTGACCCTTTATAGGAACTAAGACATTGTTAGAGCACATCTTTGTTCTTTGAAATAAGAAACACAGAACACTAGAATTTTAAATTAGACTGAGAGGCTATTCTTTTTTTCCCTCTCTTTGTTTTTCATAGACATTTTTTTTAAAACAGGTATGGTACATGTTATTGCGGCAAAGTTATAGTTAAGCATTAAATCGGGTGGTACAATGTACTATCTCCGGTCCTAATTATAAGATCTCATTTGTAGACTATAAACGAGGTCTTATAATTAGGATTGGAGGAAATATATTCTTTAAATTTCAACAAGATAAAGTGGAAAATTTTTCTTTACGCTTCTTACTGCTTGTAACTTTGCTATGTATCAACAAGGTTTATTTGGAACAGCCATTTGTATGATTTGCATCCCATAATAAAAACATTTATTCTTGTTAGATTGTTAAGGGTAACTTGTTAGATTGTTAAGGGTAAGCGTATTTGATCAGATAGAGTTGGGTTAAATAATTTATATATATATATATATATATATATATAAGTAGGACAAGTGGGTTTCAAAGTTTTAAGTTAAGATGTTATATCGAATTCATTTGTAATTGCGTTGGATTGTCACATTCCCTAAAGCCTAAAATTAAGTATTGGTTTTGGCAGGAGCTTGCGCGTGAATTCATAGAAGCCCAATTTTAAAAACTTGAAGGTGCACCAACTTTTTTGAAAAAACAAACAATTGAGAGACTTGTTTGAGCACATATATGAAAAATTTGCAACTGATATTCCAACTTTTAAAATGAAAATTTAAAATAAAATATAATTATAATACATATAAAATTATGATTTCCGTACCGACTTTCCAAATTTGATACTGATATATTAAAGAATTTGATCAAATTTTCCATATGGAAGATTATTGGAAAGACGTCATAAATTTTTCGTAATTTAGGAGGTGTTTGGCAACTTCCAAACCATAGTTTTAGAAGTACTTTTCCGCAAAACGAGACAAATTCCTCCATATATTTACTTCATAAACCGTAAAAGCACTTTTGAAACTATGTTTGATTTTTATCCAAACACCCCCTTAGTACTGAGTATACAATGATTTTCTACTTATTTCCCAATATTTAACAGGGAATATTTTAGAAGAAAGGATAATTATGTAATTTTATATGTTATTAAGGACCATAAGTCTTTTACCGAAATTTAAAATTTTTAGTCCCAAACAAAAATTAAATTAAAATTTTGGTGGCAAAGTGTCATCCTCCAACATTTTAGCACGCTCTTGCAAGTCATTACGAACTTTTAAACAATATATATTTTTCTTTTGTAATCTTCTTTATCATTGTTCAAAAATAATTTTACGTTATTATATATGTAAAAGAAACCTAAAGCGTTGGATGCTAGACCATAAACGCTGCCCTGTCTGGATAAATTAGGCTCAGCTTATTGTCAAAGATTTGGTTAGGGTTTAGGGTTACTTCAATTGGATACTCGACCATAAATGTTAAATACTACCTCCGGTCCTAATTATAAGACCCAGTTGACTTATTTGAAGAGATTAAGGAAGTAACTTAAATTAGTTATTTGTAATAAATAAGTGTTGTCATTCCTAAAATATCCTTGCTAATTAAGTATATTGACTAGAACTATCATTATTAGAAGGATTATCTTGGAAAAAAATGTATAAATATGAGAGAAAACATGGATTGGGGTCTTATAATTAGGACCAAATAAAAAGTCAAACGGGGTCTTATAATAAGGACCGGAGGTAGTATTTGATTGTTAATAGAATATAATATCGTTGTATGATTCATGCAGCCAATTTTACTTATTGAGATAAGTTTTGTTGTTGTTGTTATTGTGGTTAAAGTTATCGTCAAGAGGATTATAGAAAGAGCAAACGAGGAATGATAGGAAAAAAACAATCATTTTTCTTACAAAAGAGTTTTTTTTTAATAGTGGAACAATTTATCAAACCATTTCCACGTTTGATATATTTCACCTTAATACAAATCAAGACAAAATCAATTAATATGGCAAAAATAATGAAACCATGAAGTGAATATAACGCAGTGGATGCATATATATGAATCACCACCAAAGCATAATCTCTCACAATAGATATACTTTACTTTCTTAGACAATAAAATTATAGAAAGAGAAAATAATGAATCATGAAACATCATTTTTCTTCACAAGATGTATTTCTTCCACTGAAAGAAAAAAATCTTTCCTGTTAAAACAATAAAATCATGTATACATTAGAATCAATAAATTGTGCAATAAATAATGCCCTTTTATGACCCCCCCCCCACATGATTGCGTCGCAGTATATGTAGCATGCTTGTTCGGGCACAAGAACATCAAGTTCATCAGAAAGAGAACCACCCAGCTTATGCAACGGAGACCCATAGTCTCCAAGCTTATGAAAAAAGATCAGAACTTGGAAAAGGTAATTATTGTATATTTCTAGCTTATGAGTGAAAAAAGTCTTGAATTGAATCTATGAGTGAAAAAAGTCTTGAATTGAATCTTACTTTATTTTGGATATATATAATCAACCTGTTTTATGGGGTTTTTAATTTCTTCCGAGAAAGATATACATACTGTAATGAATTATGTGGAAGAGCAAGCTATGATCAGAACGGAGCCTGCAGATCAATCGCTTAACTTTGTTGAAATCATCAATAAACAGAACCAAAACTCTCAACAGAACCTGCAACTCCGGAAGAGGCTACGCCAAAGATTGCTCATGGCGAGCTTGAGGGGTTTGGAGATCATGAATACGATCACTCTGTACAGAACCAGGACTCGCAAGAGAACTTTGGAGCTGTAGAGAAAATTGAAACTCTGAAAGAAGCTTTGCAAAAGCTTGTTCATGTCAAGCTTGAGGGGGTTGATGATGAAGATGATCGTCACTTTAAACAGAAACAAAACTACTCGCAAGAGAACTTTGGAGCTGTAGAGAAAATTGAAACTCTGGAAGAAGCTTTGCAAAAGCTTGTTCATGCTCGAGGGGGTTGATGATGATTATCGTCACTTTAAACAGAACCAAAATTCGCAAGAGAACTTTGGAACTGTGGAGAAAATTCATACTCTGGAAGACGTTTTGCAAAAGCTTCTTGATGATGAATATGATAACTTTAAACATCGTACTTTTGAGCATGCTCCGGTGAAGCGTGTCCGAATTGATGATGTTTTACGTCGGGCTAGATTTTTGTTAAGGAATAAAAGAAGAAAATATCGTAGATCGCTGGTAGGAAAGATTAATGATCAATATTCTTAGGATTTTGATCAAATTAGATGTTGGGATTTCCAATCCGCTTTTTATATATGTAATATATAATAATGACATCTTAATTATATCGTCTATAGATTTCTAATGGCAATAAGGTGCTATCTTAAGGAATAACGAATTTAGCCAATCGATGTAATATGTAATACGGCATCTTATTACTATTTGTCGTTCGATATGTTAAATAAAACTTACCAATATATAAATATATATCTATCTTGATCTATTATGCTAGTAATTTCTATTTGGTATTCCAATAGATTTCTGGAAGCTACATTAAATGTATATAGAGAGAGAAGGGTAGAGAGAGAGAGAGAAAGGGGGAGGGATTAACTTGATGCGCTACAATATTTTTCTTTTGACCTTGGATGTGTTACAATATGAGATCACAAGACCAGAAATTATGTTGTGTATGAAGTCATTTGATGCGAATTCCGCTTGCAGATTCATTGGAAGGCGTGGAAGAGATTCCTTCAGATACTACCTCCAGCTTTTAATACAAGACTTAATAAATTAATTTGAAAAAAATTAAAGAAGTTAAAAAGTTATTTAATTATAACATATATATGTTATATGATTTTTCTAAAATACTTACTATATCATTAGATTATATATTATTTTATAAGCGGAGCAAATTAGTTTGGAGAAAAACAATAAAAATAATACTTTAAAGTACTTTCTTTAGCTTTTTTAATTTTTTAATTAATCAATTGGGTCTTTTATTAATGATCAAAATTAGTATTTAACAAGGCTTATTAATCATGAACTCAAACTACAAAATTATAGATTCAAAACAATTAAATTTTATCTTATCACAATAGGTCTGAGCGTCTGATGAAGTTTTACTCTTTTGTTCAAAAGCATATTTTCATTTTCTCGCAGGCCATCAAAAGCATGTATTCAAGTCTGACTGAAGTTATACAATCAAAATATTAAAGTTCTCATTATAAATTAAATTTAATTTGCAGCTATTGTTTTTGTATAAAAATCCCAACCTATGCGCTTGCTTGCAAGTCGTTAATTAGGAACATTGAAACAGTGACATATTGTTATTCTTCTGTAATACTCTATTACCATTATTAAAAAATAATTTTACATTATTAAGCAAAAAAAATGCATCCCAATAACAAAATCATACAGATCATTATTAGTATATATTTTCACTTTACAAGAAGTGATGACAGTTTCTCGACCATAAATAATGCTGAGCTGTCAGGATAATTAAGGTTTAGTATAGGGTTATCATCAAGATAATTTTTTTTTAACAAACATCAAGATAGTTATTAAAAGAGCAAAAAGAATGATTTTTCTTTACAAAGTATGTTTTTCAATTTGAGATATTTGGTAGAAACATTTTTCCGCTGAAATACAATGTAACGAACTATTTCCTTGTTTGATATATTTCACCTTAATACAAAATAATCTACTGTGCATGCATATCAATCATCTCGATTATTGTACAGATAACTTATTCCCCCAAATAAAATCCTACTTTGCTTTCCTAGACAAAAAGATTATAGAAATAGCAAAATGATGAATAATGAAAAATTATATTTCTTCACAAAGTATTTTTTCCCCCCCTTGAAATCAAAAAATATTTTTCTCGGCAAGATAATAAAATCATGAGATGAATATCCACGGTGCATGTATATGTAAATTAAAATGATTAAATGATCAAATAAATAGTACCCTTCTATGAACTCCATACATGGTTGCCTCGCGGTATATATCGCTAGCTTGCTTTCCCTTCCACAACAACATCAAGTTCATCTCAGAAGAACAGAACCATTTATATGCATCAAGCTTCAGATATGGAGAACCAGCTTAGTCGTCAGATTCGTGATGAGCAGATTTGTGAGGAAATGTCGAAATACGAACATCTTCAAAGTATCCTTAAAAAGATGATTTCCGTAAGTAGCTAGAAAAATCTCCCAAAAAGCTCCTTAATTTATAGTGATCACTATGATTTTCTGACAAGTAAAGTTTTATGTGTGTATCTTTTCATATGTGATTTGCAGAAATCAACGAAGGAGATTTGTGCTGAGTGTAAAACCTTGAAGAAAAATAATCCTTCATCATCTGATATTTTGAGACCAGAACTTTTCGTCTCAATCCGAAGACCCGACGAATCAGACGTTGGTGATTTGGCACTAGCTCTAATGGTACTTAATTTCTTGCTTTCCTACTAATTAATTAACCTACACACACACACACATATGTGGCTTCTTTGAATTGTATTTTGATAGTTTGTTTCATATGACATTGTTTGCAGAATGAGATAAAACAACTTGGGAGAAGGATCAAAAACCCTGTAATATGTGAGAAAGTGGTCTGTTACAGTATCCCTGAGGATTTTGACGTGGAAGGTATAAAAAATATTGAAGAAATAAAGGATCGTCTAGGAAAGTGGCGAATCCAAAGGAGACAGCGAGAGACAAAGATGAACGACACGGTATATTACACATAATTGAATAGTTGTGTGATTAACTCATAATTTAAATGATGTTAACAATAACGTTATTCAATATAATTTTACATATTTCAGTATTATTGTCACTTAGTCTCAAGACAGGCATTTCGGTCTATCCCAGAGGTTCTGAACTTTATGCTGCACGGGACTCGAAAGAGAAATGCTTCTGACATGGCTTCAACAAGCGAGGTGATGCATAACATCTGAGTTGTTATCGTACATATATATATTTCATTTATTCATCATAGTACGTATTTAATTGATTTATGAAAACTAATGACATATGCAAAACTAACGTTGACTACTTATGTAGGGGGGCAACATCATGGTGATATCTAAGTCGTTTTCGAAAAAACAAAGGAAGGCTAAGGGGAAGATGGTGGTTACCTCGCAAGAATCTTCGTCGTCTCCTGAAAGTACAACATCTTCGAATTTGGAGCTTAGCATGGTTCCTTGGAATCCGTTTGAATCAGAGATGGATATGGTAAATTAAACACATTATATAATGTTTCTGTATATTTGTGTGTGTATTTTCATAATTTGAATGATATGATTAATGATGGCAATAATAACATTCATTGTATTAATTATTTTTCCAGTACTATTCACACCCAAGCTCGAGTCTAATTCAATGGAATCCACAGCCATTGAAAATCATGCCCTATGAACCTGAAGCCAGCAGTATCGGCCGAGGCAAAGAAAAAGTCACACAAGAGGTGAACTTTGTAGATCTCACAGAAGACTCTGATGACGAAGAAAATGGAATAATACACTCAAATTCAGAGATGACTGAGTTGACAAAGGACAAGGTGATATATATATGTGCAATTATATATATATATTGTATTTATTGGACATAATGTATATTTAATTGATTTATGAAAATTAATTTATAAAAGAAAGCTACGGTGATTTGTAGGTTGACAATTGTATATCTTGGTCGCCTTTGAAGAACTTGGCGGATGTTGCACTAGGCACTGCTGAACACAAAGGATGCAAAGGTTTCGAAATGTTTGGTGATCTTTATTCCAATTTATCTAAGGACCTTGTGCGTCAAATCAATGCCGATAGTGATATTCCAGTCGCAAACGAGAAAGAGATTGAAAAAGGTAATTATTATGGGACTGCATCATTTCCAGCTTTAATTTTGAGTGAAATTTCCTCGATATAAATAAGCTGTTCTATAAAGTTTTCTTCTGAGAAACATATATACATATATATGCTTATAATGACAACGTAACCCAAATATATATAAAGACATACATAGCTAAGGATCATATATATATGTGTGTGTGTGTGTGTGTATACACGGATTCTAACACTGTACATTTGATATACAATTATGCAGAAAATCAAGGTTTGATCAAAACTGAGCCCGTGGTGGAATCACTCACCATTACCGAGTCCAGCAATAAACAGAACCAAAACTTGCAGCAGAACAGTGGACCTGCAGAGAAATTTGCAACTCTGGAAGAGGCTAAGCAGAAGCTTGCTCATGTCGAGCTCGAGGGGGTTGATGATGATAATGATGATGAGTTTCAGCAAGTCGTCTCTTTTTCTCAGCCTGATGATCTAGTGAACCATATTTTAGATTATGATTATGATTATAATAATGTGGTTGATTTCTTATTTAGAGATTAAAAGTAAGAAACTATTGTACGTAGCTGGTGAGAAAGAATAAAGGTCAATATTACGAGAATAATGATCAAATTAAAATGTACCTAGATTTGACAATAAAGCTAGAGAGTTCAACAGTGCTTGGTTCAATTAATTGCTACAATGAAATAGTTTCTTCACTTTGTCAAACTCTTGGTCGGATTTTTGTAAAGAGCGCAAGGACAAAAAGTTTTCACATCAAGTTTTACAGGCGTCTCTCTCTTACCCTACGCATTGTTCTTTACTTTTTCCTAAGCATTTGTAATTTTACAATATATACAACACAGAATTCACTTTGCTAGGATAATTTTAATTAATTTGAAGTAATTTTTCTCTTGCAAATCGAATGCCATATTGATGATCATTTTTATATCTGAATTAACAATATAAGCAGGTTATTAAATAAAATTTTGGAAAACTTGCGCCATTTTGGTGAGAGCACTTCTGCTTCCATAATTAATACATCATGAACCACAACATTTTAGTATCGTCAAAATCACTCTTGTTGCTCCAGGCAAAAAAATAAAATTAAAAAGTGTCTAACACAACCTTCCTCTCCTTTTATTTGAGCTTGGAACCAGCTATAAAACATAGGTGGAGTTACTATGCCATCGTGCCAATGAGGTCGTATGATTATCTAGCTTCACTTAACTATGAAAGATACGGAAGCTTGAGAATTCAAACAACAAAATCATCAAAATGTTTGCTACATTATAAGAAATTTTTAGATGTGGGCATCGGAAACTAAAAGAAACAATCAAAATGGATGAGTGAGCGCCTCTGGAATGTCACAATACACACACACACACACTATCAGAAACAAAAGCTCAAATTATTCAATCATGAATAATAAGACTTCGATAAAAAAAACGCTGATTCCCAAGCCTCAAAATTTTAATATAGAAGGAAAAGAAAACTTAGTGATGACAATCCCCACCTAAATGAAGTACGATTACAGTGGT